ACATACATAAGAAGTATGAATGAGTTGCTAGTTTAAAAGTATTAATATATATATACTTGTGGATGCATGGTTGAATTGCCAATATATAAATAAATATACTTGTGGAGGCATGGTTGAATTACCAATGTATAAATAAATATACTTAAAGGAGGCATGGTTAAATTGTCAATATATAAATAAATATATTTATAATGACATGGTTGATTTGCCAAAGCGTAATTAAATTGTTATGCGTTAGATGATTAAAATTTTATCTATGGTTATTGTATGTATAGGTTAGATTATGATTAGATATTCTTAAATTAGAATAATCTAGTAATTATATGTTAATATATTATTTTATGTATATTAATAAAATAATATTGGTGGATACATGAATAATTTGTCAAAGCATAATTATTGGATATGTGATTTAAATAATTAAATCATTATTGGGTTATGGATTAATTATATTATTCTTTTAATTATAATTTATTATCTAACTGATTAAATAATTGTTTAGGTTGGAATCAAGGTTTAAGAGACTTTTCTTTAAAAGAAATGGTAGATTGGTTTAGGAATAATTATTATTTAATCATTATTAATGGTTTTGGAACTAATGAACCTAGTAATATATGTGATTGTTATACTGTATATAATTAATTATATATATGTATAATAAAGATAAAAGACTTTATTAGAATTGGCTTTGGTCAGAGATGATCTTTTTATTGGTTTTCAGAGGCCTTGTAGAGAGAGTTTGCTCGTGAGTCTAACCCACGATTTATTTTTCAGGTTATTAGAAGGTCCAAGTCTCAAGGTTAAGGATCCGTAGTTGGAGGACTTATCAATTCTTTCTATTTTATTTCAAAGTAGGATATTATTACTTCAGTATTTATTGATGAATTTTTGGATAGTGGATTTTGGTTAAGGGGTCCTTGAGTTACGAGATTCCCTAGTTGTAACCATTGGAGAATTATTAATGAAAATTATTATTTATTAGTTTTTTTCAGCGTATTATTTATTATTTATTTCATTTTGTAATCTGTGCTTGTTTGAAATATTTTAATTATTTTGATATCCCCTTATTTTGTGCGCGGACTTGATCAATTCGTATTATGAAATTGGGAGTATCACAGTTTGTTTTGTTATCCGTGATAACATATTCATGGGTTTGCTGTAGAGTGTTCTGCTATTACAAACAGCGCCGATGATGTCGACGAAGACCTGACCCAATCCCCCATATTCGCTCGAATGTTCACCGCCGAACTCAGTTCCTTCGCCGCCCTCAATTGTAGTTGTCCCACCCTTGTAACTTCCTTATTTTCGACTTAACCCACGAAACCTCCTCTGTAATTCCTTCAAATTTGATCGAACAGAGACAAAGTTGAAGACTCGAAGTGACGATCAAATTTATGCTTGGATCTCCATCTACCATGGCGGGGATGGTGTTTTTGAATTAATGAAATTAGGGTTTGTGATTGAAGAGTTGGAAGAATAGTTGAATTGCAAAACTGATGCAAATTGCTACTCCTCCTCCTTTCTTTCTCTCTATCAGTATTTTTTTTCCTCTTTGGCCTCCAACTCCTGTGATAACAGGTGGAAAATCATTCAACAAGGGTAAGGGCTAAACGGTAATTTCATTTTTCAGTTAACAGCTGCTTGACGGTTGGTGAATGAGTGCAACAAAATGATAATTTAGGGAGTTTTACTTACTTCAGGGTTTTTTTTTTTTTTTTTTGGCAATTGGGTCATAGTACAGGGGGGTTTAGTGCACTTAACCCTTTTATTATTATTATTATTATTATTATTTTGGGGTTTGGCATTGTAATTAATTGGTGGTGAGGGGTGAAGGTCTGCTAATGATGAATGAACAGAGAAAATAAATCGGCTATGTAACTGAGTTGCAGAGGGTTTCTGGGCTTTATCACAGATCTATTTCTTTATTTATTATTATTATTTTTTAAAAGTAAACAAAACTAAAATAGTCGAGAACAATAATCAAGAACACAACTCAGTTCACAACACTTAAGCTAAATTGAAATTGGTTGTGGGGGTGGTTGTGGATGGTGGTGGTGGGTTGAATTTGGTTGTGGGTGTGATAGGGTGTTGGGGTGTGTGTGTAAGAAAGGGGATGAAGCCTAATTTAGGGGTGGTTGGGCTCTTGGTGGTGATAGTGGTGGTATTTGGGTGTGATAGTTGTGAAGTGATCCAAACACATAGTTGAGGGTCATTTTGGTTAATTCATATGAAATTATAAAGTTAATGTAATTAATTTTGAAGTTAAAGGGTAAATATATACTTTCATCACGTTAGGGGTGTTTTTGTTTAGTTTAGCAAATTTGGGGGGTATCACTTTTCAAAATTAGCCTAAGTTATATCTACTTGTCTTTTAGGCAAATCTGAGGGGGTGTCACTGCAATTTATCCTTAAAAAATAATAATAATTTAATTTAATTTTTAATTTTTATTTTTATGTTGTGGCGGTGGTTATGGTGGTATAATAATTATTATATATAAACTATATATATGTATAAAAGAGATGAAGATGTTAGTTTGATCCATTAAATTTAGTTAGGAAATTAAATTTGTAACATGTAGTTTCATATGGTTTAAGAGGTCTAGAGGGAGTATTAATGCACAATTTTGAAACCTCAGGGAGTGTTAATGTAAAAAAAGCCATTGATCGTCCGCTGAGTGGTCTCGACCAAAACCTCAAGGGGGTGTCAGTGCAATTTAACCCCCCTTCTCCCCCGGCCCCCCCCCCCCCCCCCCCAAGGGCGGCCACACCCACATCATTTGCTTATTATATAGGGTAAAATAGAGTTGGGGAATATCTGGCCTTTTTTTTTTTGTAATAATATACTAACCAATATGGAATTTTTAAGTAATTCTAATAAATAGTATTCAAGAAGATTTTTTTTGTTAATATTAAAATAGAATAAAATTATTATCTTAAAGTGTTTATTTCAATAATTGTCACAGACGATAATAAAAAGTGATTTACAAATTTATTTTTTCTCTCTTTATCTTTTTGCCCCTGTATGTTTGTATCATTGTTGCAAAAATACATATAAGAGAGTAAAAGATGTCGAAGATTAGAGGACCAAAAGAAACAAGAGATGACACGAATGTTCTAAATGAAGATTTATTGGAGGATAATTTTGAAAACCCTATTTCACACCGAGGAAAGACAACTAGAATTAATAAATGGTACTTTTCTTCTAGTATTTTTAATGTGAAATTTGCTTATTTTCGAAGCACAAATACTTGTATACGAGAGTGATGTACCCTTATTAAATACGTGTTGGATATCAATACTCTTCGAATACTTATTCAATATTTTTTAAACGTATTCATAATTTTAAAATTTATATTTTAATTTATAACACGTATCTAATACTTCGACTACGTATTTAAGATTTCTCTGATAGTTCATAACACATTTTTAACAAGTAACTCTTATAACATTAATAGTATATCATAATTAATAAGAAAAATTCAAAATGTATTAGGTTATGACTAAGATGCTTGTTTTATGTGTTGTGAAAGGAAGTGTCATGTGCATTTATATTTATAATATTACAGAAAATTGATTAATATATATATATATATATATATATATATATATATACTATTATCATATCGTATCGGATTTACACCCGTATCCACACAGGTGGTTCCTAGCTTCTGTGCTACAGAAGCAAAGGCATGAATGAAAGTAAATGGTCCCTTGGGCTCTAGTATGATTTACTAAATTGCCTTTTAAAACTTGGAGCATGTTTATGGAAAATATTACAAGATAATTCTTCAAATTAAAGCTTAATTTGCGGTCCAATTGGATATAATATCTCCTCTGTTTCACTAGTTTTTTTTTTTTTAATGTCTCATGGTAGCAAGAACAGTCTGTTATGTCAGTAATCTTACAATCAGACCTGAGGTGTTTTAATGCAGTTTGCTGCGTCATTGGTGGTGGGATGAACAATATGATTTGAAAAAGGAAAATATATATTTAGTTTAGTTTTCTGAAAAAAAGAATGTTTAGAAAATTTTCTGTAAAACTCAAATTATCTATTTATTTTAAAAAAATTTAATAAAAGAAAATTTAATAATTTATTATTATTTAATCTTGTAAATTTTTTTTTATCTTAATTAATATATCAATATAATTATTTTAAAAAATTAATTTTAATTATCATTAAGAAAATAATTATTTAATTACTTTGTTGAATATTAATTTTAAATTAAATTTTAGCATTTTTACTATTATTAATCAAAAGTCATAAAATCAATTTTGATAAAAATTACAGTTAATTTTGACATTTTATAAATTATTTACGATTTTCTAAGTTTTATGCACGATTTTAAGGCCCAAATGTCTTTTATAATTCTCTACGCTTACACTCGCTATTTACCATTTTCATGGGAGATGAAAAGTTTAATTTAAGGACAATATTATCCTTTTAAATTATTATAGTGTGCGTGCGTGTATATATATATATTAATACAGACACCATATAACCTACGCTTTTTTTTTTTTTTTTAATTGTCTAGCTACTCATCTCTCTTTAACAAATTAACTAAAATTCAAATTACACAATTTTACTTCAATTAAAATTCAATTCCATAATTCTACCTCAATTAAAATTTATAAAAAAAATCCATATTTAAAAAAATATACATTTATAAATATCGAATCCATGCATCATCCACGGTGCACTCAGTATTTGTGAATGTGTATGAATTAAAAATGTAATCTGATCAATTTGTTATCGGAAAGCAATTTATATATAAGATAATTGGAATTTGGATCATCGATAAATAATTTGATTTCTCTGTCAATCTTATGGCAAACTAAGCATGATATAATTCAGATTCAAACATTAAAAAGAACAAAATAAATACGAAATTTGGGGATTAGTCATGATAATTTATACAATAATCTTCAAAATAAAATAAATGGTTTTGCAGGGTTTTTCTATGCTAAAATCTCCAGTTCAAAAAAACAAATAAAAAAAAATGAAATATGAGATGGAATCAGTAGACAAACTGAACGAAAAACAATTCATCTGTGGATACCATCCCTACGGTTGTCTGGCCGCTGCCTGATTTTCCTTGAATCTGTTACCAAACAGAGCCAATTTCTTAGCTCCATCTGGTACAAATTCAAGGAGTATCAGGCTTTCTCTGTATGCACAGTTGTTATATAGAGAGACAACAAAACATCTCTCTACAATTAACACAACAAATGCAAATACAACACAAACCCAAATACACAAACCATACAAATAATAAAAAAATCTATGTCGTATCATTTGGGGTATTAATGGAGGCTCATATCAAGTGTAATTTTTTTAAAGGTCTGTCATTGTGGAGGAAAAAAACCCTAATCGAAAGAGAATAGAGTGAGAAGAGAGAGGAAAAAAGAAGACAGATTTGGTGATTTCAGACGCCAAAGCCTTCCTCTTTTGTGTAAAAGGGGGCGGCATCTTAAGTCACTGAATCCTTGATTTCTTCTTCTTCTTCATCGTCTTCTCTCACTACCCACCAAAATCGAATGAGCTCTCTCTCTCTTTAGAGAGAGAAAACCACCCACTCAAGCCTCTCTCTTTCTAATCATAGCCTCCATGACAGGTTGACATTCATAGAAGATCATCACTGTCAAAGAGTGAAACAAGTCCGGGAAGAAAGAGGAGTTGGGGTTTTGGGTATTGCGGCTATCTACTGGAGGACTCGTCGCTTGAAAGCCATTAGGTATGCGCTTATATATATACACATTATGTGTGTGTGTGTGTGTGGGCGATGGGATCGTGGGAGTATTAGGGTTTCCAACTTTATTTTTATTTTTATTTTATTTTTGGACCCATTATACTTAAGCCCAACAGACTTATCATCGGATCCGGACAGGGTAGTAATTGGGTAAGTCCAACAGACTAATTATTAATTTGTTAGAGGCGTCTTGACCCACATCAGATCCGAACTGACAACTAATCGGATATATATGGGTTACGTGCTAGAAGTAATCAGATATATATATAAATTAAGTGTTAGCCTTAGTTACACTAATCAAAATGACTAGCCTTTTCCTGATTGTATCCTGAAATGGCTAGATGCCTACCAGGGATTTGGGACCCAATGCCTCGGTTGGTCATGTGGGCTTAGAGCATCTTTAATGCAAAATGCTATTTTTTTTTATACCAAAGTTATATTTTAAAAGGAGCTATAGTGTCAAAATGCTATATTGAAACGGCACCGTATGACAAAAAAGAAATGTCTCAAAATTTGTTGAGAGCTATTATACATGATAATACTTTTGACAATCTCAAAATATGAGAGGTCTTTTAAGAGCTAATTAAAGTGTATTATTTTCATCCACCTACTATATTTTAATTCTAAAAGACTCTTTAAGAGGGCATTGGAGATGCTCTTAAGTATCATTTTCCTTTATTTTTTCATACTATGGGAAAAGTCACTTCAGACTATTAATGGTTGGGATCACAAATAAAAAAAAATAAAGGCCTCATTTTTGAGAGTTTTGAATCAAGGACCTAAGAAGCCAATTTAAACTTTGGATGGTTTACAAAATCCAACAATTGCTTACAAATCACATGCATCATTTAAGTTCAGACCTCATCTTTGATGAGTCTCGAACCAAAGTTAACCTTAAAGCCCTTGGTAGTTGAGCTATCACGGGTAGATTTGCATGCATTTTGTCCTCACTTAAATCCTTCAACTCTCTTGTAGAGAAGTAAAAAAGTAATATTTATGGGCCAAAACTTCAACAAATGAAAAGGAACTTTAATTGTCATTTCAAAGCTTGGCTTTGTGACTCTTACCATTATCAGTAATATGCTAGGAAAGTATCTTTCAGTAATCATATTGAGAACCTATAAATCTCTAGAGGAATCATATGTTATCTGTATTTCATAAACTTCAAATCATATGAATTAGCATGTTAACTAAGTCAAAAACCACCTTTTTTTTTGGTAAGTAGAGTTAGATCTATAAACAAGCCCCAAGGCCAAGATTACACTGTACAAGGGGCATACCCCAGGAGAGTACAATCCCTATAACTCCATTTCCTACTCTGTCAAAACGATCAAAAGACTAGTCCCTATAGACAAGAACAGGACTCAAAAAACAGGAGAGCTTCCAAAGGAACTTCAGTAAGAGCCAAAACATCATTGATAAAGTCTCCTTGTTGAAATACAACCATACTTAATCTGTGTGAGGCTCAGTATAAGAAAGTAGTTCATCAAGTCTTAAAATGCTCCCCTTTTTTATTTATTTATTTATTTATTATTATTATAGTTTTTAGTATAATCTTGTACGTTTACAAGTCTTCCGTTGTTTGATGATGTACTGAATTGCCTCTTTCAAACTAGCTTTTCGTCCCTCCTTAAAGTTCCAAATTTCGGGAACTACATACCTTCCACTTGGATTGTATTCATTCAACTCCAGCAATGCATTGGCAACAACCTTGTATGCTTCCTCACCCCATTCCTTTCTCAACTCTTTCAACTTATCATCATCTTCATCTATAGTTTCCTGCACCTAACAGCATTCATAAATCCGCATAGAATGATTCGAGTAATTTAGTTATGCAATCATCACTGTATGATATGTGTATTATAAAGAGGTATGACCATAAAATTTCCATATATATATATATTTTTGGCATCTAAATGGACTCACTCAAAGTCCAAGACAATTCACTCTTCATTGAGTCCTATACCATCTTTATTAGTACACGACTAAACAGGACCATCGAAGAAAATAGAAGCTATCTTCACAACTGATGGATTCATTCACGGCGATGGCTCTCTCTTTCTGCATTCCCCCTATTAATCACAGATTTCTATGTTCAAATGGCATATATGAGAAATAATCCATTCATTTTAATGGGACATCCAAGACACACATTCTTTTTTTTTTTTTCAAAATAAATAGAAGATAATATTTTTACTTCTTTTTTTGATAAGAAATAATATTTTCACTTCTTAGAACCAGAATCTTTTCACTGTCTATTCTCATTCCTTGAAGCAAAACATCTACCAAATCTAAGTTCAATCAGTGATAGCTTTCTTTATAAAGATTCAATGTGCGGATGGGAGGTATTCAAACATACCTGCTGTTTCTGATCAATTTTGAACGGGTACCAGTTTGAATCTTTCAAATTCTCTTGCCACTGGGAACATAGTTTAGCAGATTCCTCCTCCCAGCCTCCGCCAGGGAACTTTGCCAAGCACACATCTCGAAACGGCTGCAGATCAAGTTCCCCCATTCTTTTAATTCCAAGTATGGATCTTTTGCTTCGCTTACCATGCAAACTCTGGGTGGCAAAAAATGAGGCCAAATTCCAAATGAGAAACAATTTGCAGTCGTTAGATATAATTTAGAATTCAATTTTCTAGCATAACAAAAGCTATGGTCATCTATTAAATAAAAATTCAGCTAAAATGAGTCAAGTCATACATTTATCAGTTCTTTGCGGACTTCTTGAAGCTCAATGTTGCTCGTGTGCTCTCTAACTATCAGAGTTCTGTTAAGGCTTTCCAAATCTCTCATATCATCTGTTTTGTCCTCTAGTTCTTTTCTCAAAGCCTTGATCTGGATACCAGAACTATCACTACATTCTGAAGGGTTTTGATCTTTCAAATTTCCTTCCAACTGCATCAACTATACAAATTTTATGCAAGCTTAAATAATAACAGAAAAGATCTGCATTCAAATTCAAAGCAATACAATAATAGGATGTAATAAAAAAGGTCCTAAAAAATATGAAATTTGAGCATTTAACAAGCATAATATTGCTTGCCCAGCTTACTTATAAGCCCATGATAGCGTTTAGGCCAAAAGACGGACTTTGATAAGTGCGCTAGCTTAGCTGATCACGTCCGCACACATATGGTTGTTGACCATTATATTAGGAAGCTAGTATGCTAGTATTTTGACACGTTGATACATGTTAAAAGAAGCCAAACAGTAACTTTAATAGGTGTTAAACTCCTAGCTCTGTCACTGTAAGTCATCTTGTATCATTATGGAACATCTCTTTTTCTTTTACCGGGTAGGTGTATTATACTGGAATACTTCTAGATTTTCATAAATAAGTTTATCTCTATAAATTTTGAACTCATGTTCGTTCTTGTAACACAACCATAAATTTGTAATTTTCCTTAATACGATTTGGACAAGAGATGTGAACAAGTTGCATACGTGTGAGTCTCAGACAGGTCCAAACAGCTTAATCCAAATCTGCCCTTTTCATGATTATAAGTGATAAAGGGGAAGCCCAAGGGATATTTTAATGGAAGACAAGTACACTTACCTTTGTTCTCTCCGGGTCATTATGGTGCTCGTGCTCTCCCAATTCTTTGGTTCGATTCTCAAATGCTATCACTAGAGATTGGAAGTCTTGCTTCAGCTTTTCATATCCTACTTTGAGGCTTTGTAATTCACTCAATCCTGTTTTAATATGAAATAAGAACTTGGAAAGTAAATATCTGGCAAATATAAATGATCTGTTATATGTTTATGCTAGTTAACTGTACACTTGTCAAGTGTCAACTACATAAACTAAAAAATCAAAGAAAGCAACAAATAACATGAGAAGAAAAGAATGAACCAATTTAGAGGCATGATTGATAAGCATGCCTTACTGGGAAAAAAAAAATTGATTGAGGAGCATGTAAGGTGAGAGACTAAATAGATGTCTAATTACAGGAGCACCTCATATGTCAACTTGATCCCATAGGCATATGATTACTCTTGGGTCCTCAAATTTTTAGTATAGAAACGGAGAGTACAATAGCAACTTAATAACAAAAATAAATGATGTCAACTTAACCAAAGTATCATTTATATATATATATATATATATATATATATATCTTGTTAAAAATAAGTACTCTTTAAGCCTGTTCAGAATGATGTAATGCTGATGTCTCGCAAAGAACTTCACAAACTTCTTTTTGAAGCTTGAATTGTACCCATGGCAATATTTACAGAGACTATGAAATAGAAAGGAATGAAAGGTTTTACAAAGTAGTTTTTTTTTTCCTTTGTTTTTGTAAAAATAGAGAACTTCATTAAAATAGATACATATGCACACAGAAGCATAAATGGTAGTGTCCAGAATTGAGTATGCTTTTAGTTACAGGGACATCTTTTCACTGATATATATAAAAATAAAAAATCACCTCTAGCACGAGAAAGTCAGATCTTTGGCCAATTTTCTTCCTAAAAATCTAGGAACAAAATTTGCTTCGAACTTCTTAAAAATTGGCTTTTCAAAGCGAAACTAAGCTGGATAACCAAAATGAAAGTAAAGTGATCAATGGATATTCATGAAATGGCAACATGTGAGACTCATATGAACTATCTTCTGGACATTATTCTTCCATGTTCTATAGTCGGCTTAGTCTTTTGTTTGAGTAGCATTACTTATTAAAGGCTTTGTCCATACATACTTGTGTATGCCAAATGATAAAGATCCATGTAGTGTTGTTTCGAAATCCATTTACGTTTTTAAAACCGGAAAAGCAAGAGTAATATGATAAAACACCTTTAGCAGGGCCTATGAAGGACTAGTTTTCAGACATTTTTCAGAAAGCAGATCAATTTTTTCCTTCAGAAACAAAAGCCATTTAACAACTGAAAATGACATATCCACAAATGTTTTTACTATTTCCGTTTCAGAAGTGACAAGTACTCATGACGCATCCCCAAGGCCTAAATCAAATGGGTCCTTGGATTTTAGATGTGCTTATAATTAATTTGATCATGTCACAGTGACCAAGAGATATTGGGCAGGTCAATTTTTTAGGGAATAACTTATTAGGACGATGACACTTGAGCTACATAACTGTCTATATTTGAATAAAATAATTGACTAGACATTCCATTAAACTACAACTTCTAAATCCAAAATTCATAATTTTTCTTGATTTGTCAGGAAGTAAAATGAAAACTTACTATCTAATTTTGTAGTCTATTCAGAAAGTCAGATCCTATACCTCCATCTTTCAAGCGTTATAAATCATTATTTGAGTAAATAGATTAACTAAAACACAATTAGCCTTTGATGGTAAAATTTACGGGATACAAATAAATACTATGATATAAAAAGATGTGACATACGTTCAATGTATGCTTCTATTAGCATATCTTTCTCCTCCACCTTATGCTCCATCTGCAATAGCTTCTCATTTTTCTTCTCCAGGTCACTACTGTGCTCATGCTCAAGTTCTTTGACTCGCTGCTCAAATTTTTCCTTTTGAAGCTCAAAGTCATGCTTCAACTTCTCATGTTCTGATTTTAAGCTTCCACTTTCTAACATTGTTAGGAAGCAAGCATTTTAAGTCATTATATGAATAAATACATTAAATAAAACGCAATTAGCCTTTGGTACTACAATTTATGCATACAAAATAAATACTCATCTAAAAAAATGTGGTGTACCTTCAATGCATGCTTTGATTAGCATATCTTTCTCCTCCGTCTTATGCTCCAACCACAATAGCAATTCATTTTTCTTCTCCAGGTCACTATAGTGCAAATGCTCAAGATCTTTGACTTGCTGCTCGAATTCTTCCTTTTGAAGCTCAAAGTCATGCTTCAATTTCTCATGTTCTGATTTTAAGCTTCCACTTTCTACCATTGTTAGGAAGCGAGCATTTTAAATCATTATATGAATAAATACATTAAATAAAACACAATTAGCCTTTGGTACTACAATTTATGCATAAATAAATACTATCATCTAAAAAAATGTGGCATACCTTTAATGCATGCTTTGATCAGCATATCTTTCTCCTCCATCTTATGCTCCAACCACAATAGCAATTCATTTTTCTTCTCCAGGTCAGTATAGTGCAAATGCTCAAGTTCTTTGACTTGCTGCTCGAATTCTTCCTTTTGAAGCTCAAAGTCATGCTTCAACTTCTCATGTTCTGATTTTAAGCTTCCACTTTCTACCAGTGTTAGGAAGCAAGCATTTTAAATCATTATATGAATAAATACATTAAATAAAACACAATTAGCCTTTGGTACTACAATTTATGCATACAAAATAAATACTATCATCTAAAAAAATGTGGCATACCTTCAATGCATGCTTTGATTAGCATATCTTTCTCCTCCATCTTATGCTCCAACCACAATAGCAATTCATTTTTCTTCTCCAGGTCAGTATAGTGCAAATGCTCAAGTTCTTTGACTTGCTGCTCGAATTCTTCCTTTTGAAGCTCAAAGTCGTGCTTCAACTTCTCATTTTCTGATTTTAAGCTTTCACTTTCTACAATTTCGAGGAAACAAGTCAAGTGGAATAGAAAATTAAAAAGAACTGACAAACTAACAAGACATAAAAGGTATAGATCCATTTTTACAGGTGCTAGCGATGAACATGTATTATGAAAAGCAGAGCTACCAGATTGAATACATCCTGAAGCAACTTATTACTAAGAGACAAACAAAACTATAATTTTGATCCGAACATGCAGTGTTTGGGATTTAATATGCTTTTACAAAAAGGTCGTATTTTCAATGTCCAAAAGAAGTTCAATTGTAGCATGCTGAAATCTGAACTCTGCTACAAACCTCTCAGAGGCTTAGTTCCTCCTTGTACATGTAAAGTAATTAGCTCCCTAGAAACAATCTCCCACCACAATCCTCTTAAACTTCTGTGTGTAAAACAACTAGGACTGTAGTAACAGCCACCCGTATCTTCTCTAAGCTGCAACTCTCTAAACTAAAATTGTAGTTTTATCAAATTTAAAAAGCAGGGTGCAAATGAGGGCCTTTGTGAGCTCTAAAACCTCTAATTTTTTATTTTTTTATTTTTTCATGAATGATGATTTGAACCCTCAACTTGTCTTTAACACCCTAATTCACAGACCTCCATGTCAACCCGAACCTAAACCATCATCTTCTACATTACAACTAGTAAAATTAAGAATGACAAATTTAGGGTTTGTTTGGCAACTATTTCTGTTTTGTGATTTCAATTTCATACAAAGCAGAAGCAATGTTTTTGTTGTGCTATGATTTATTACAAAACAAAAACATGTTTGGTAACAATTTGTTGCACAATGTTTCCCAAAAAATTTATAAAAAGAAAGAAAGAAAAAAAAAGAAAGATGTTTGGATGTCTGTATAAAATATGGCATTTACACATAATATTGGATGTTTTAAAAGAATCTTGTTCAACTATAGCAAGCAAAAACAAGTTAAAACATATTTTTCTAGCTTCCAAATTTGGGCCTTTTTTCTGAAGCAGATTCGATACTGTGCAGAATGCAATAAATGTTATGAAACATGTTTTTGCCATTTGTTTGTGTTGTTAAACGATTTGGCAACGAAATCACAAAGCAAATTAAGGGTTGCCAAACAGGCCCTTAGCTAAGCCCTTCACACCAAATGTTTATATGAAAAAGAAGCACTACTATTTTCACGTAGATAATGACATATACCTTGAGCATACGATTCAATCAGTCTATCTTTCTCCTCAATCTTGCACTCCTTGAGGAACAACTGTCCATTCTTGACATCAACCTCCTTATGTAGCCTAACAACAAGTTTTCGCGCTTTTTGTAACTCCTCCTTGAAAATGCAATATTCCGCCATTTGAATATAAACAAACTTGAAGTGCCTGCAAAAACATCCAAATATAAAAATTAAAGTGAATTTAACCCATTTTTAATCAACACCTTCCACACATTTCAAGTATCACATGTTCTATAATCAACACCTTCCACACAAGACCATTAACAATGAGCAAAACCCCAAAGCACTTTAAAGATCACATTTTTTAAATAACTATAAACCAAAATTTTTCCCACGAGAAAAAAAAAATGGTCAAGTCAAGGAACAAAAACAACAGATGAAGAAATAAATTAAAAATTATCCCCAAATTTTGAATAAAGACACTGTAATCTAAACAAGCATATATAACTCATTTACAATCAAAACCAGAGATTATCCCTTGCTAAAACAAAACCATTAACAATGAACAAACCCCAAATCGTTTTAAAGACCACATTTTTTAAATAACTAAAAAACAGAATTTTTCCCAAAAAAAAAAAGGTAAACCGAAGCAACAAAAACAAAAGATGAAATAAACTAAAAATTATCCCCAAAATTTGAAGGAAGAAATTGTTATGTAAACATGCATATATATATATATACACACACACCCACACACACACAATTTATATGTATATAGGAACCTGAGGGTGCAATATTTTAACTTTTAAGAGATGAGCTCTGAGACTTGATGGTGGAGTGTAAAATATATATATATATATATATATATGTTGAAAAGCGAACAAGTGTCAAGCGTGAAATGGTTTCAGTGTGATGAATTGAATAGCCGCAGTAGGAGCTACTGCACAACCCAACCATTTGGCTTTGCTAATTGCCAATCATTATGCCTCAAAACTGAACACTGGTCAGTAGTAAGTACTCCCCAACCGTACATATATGGGATGCTCGTTGCATCAACGGCGCTGATAAATTCCTGGTTATTGAGGTGGGCCCCAATAACCAGGCTTTTTAAGAAGGAAAATGGATGTTACTACTAGTTTGTGCTTTTTGGACAGTAGAGACAAGACGAAATAAAGTGAAAGTCAAAATCAGATTGTTCATTCTCCCATAATTTTTATTATCTTCTTAGTTGTTTTATGAAAAAGATGGTTAGAGGTCAACTAAAGAGTTCAATTGTTCAATTCTAGAGAGTATTAAAATTTGTTTAAAATGATCAGTAAAATATATGTTGAATATTAAGGTACGTTACACAATAACTTAATTAAATTAATATCCAGCTTTTTGAATGAATGGTGTCCAATTCTTTCATCCCTTAACTTGTCAGGATAAATAAATAAATAAATAAAAATAAAAAATAAAAAATGCTTTCTAAGAGGCGACTTTAAGAATTTTTTAAAACATCTCATCTTTGCTCTTCTCAGTTTTCTTGTATCGTTTTTCAATAATTACCGTAATGCTGCATGTTTCAATTGAATAACTTGAAAAGTAAAAGCATCCAAATGAAATAATTGCAAAAACAATAAAATTAATATCTCAGCCTTGGTTCCATAAATTATCCAAGTACTGTGGTACCATTCCTTTTTTTCTTTCTTTTTCTTTTTTTTCAGCAAGGCAAATTGAGTATTGTGGTACCTTTGATTCCTCAGTAGCAATAAATAAGAATTATATATATCTGCTTCAGCTTCCAGAATAATAACCATAACGGTTGACGACAAGCAAATGAACATCTTTCAGAATTTCCAATCAATAATATAAAGTTGGTGCATGTTCAACTTTAATCAGACAAATTTGAAGCACAACCACCAAAAGACAAATAATACAAATAATTAAGAAGATGCAAAAATGAATGAATAAATAAAAAAACTACTTACAAAAAGAAACAAAAAAAATTAAGCCATCATGCAAAATACTGTATTTACAATGGATTTGGAAGATGAGACTACACAAGGATTCAAGGAACCATGCCAAAAAAGTTCAGCTGTTTTATCTTAAATATCAGTTCAACCAAATCCTTCAGTGGTTGTTCTATGCATAAGAGCATTTGGCTTGTCAACCATTCTATTTCTATCTAGCTACGTGGAAAACGCATGGACAGAAATCCACTACACAAGGACAAACATTAATCCAACCATCAAGCCGTCCCCCTCCTGCGCTTATATACTTTCCATTGCTTCAGTATGAAGGCAGCTCCTTCCCGCAATGTTGCTTTCCTTCCTTCCAAATGGTTCCACAGCTCCGGGGTTATATACCTTCCACTTGGGTTGTATTCGTTTATCTCCATCAAAGCTGTTCTGACAGCCTTGTACACTTCATCACCGAATTCATTCTTCAGGCCCTTCAATTTTTCATCCTCATCATCTACTACTTCCTGACCAGTAACATCAATCTTTAAGTAAACAATAACATAGTGAATACATAGAATGTTAATGCACAATCAGACATAACGGCATTTGCAGGTCCTATAATGGCAATGAACTTTGGCTACATGACAATAAAACAACCCTACTAACCACTGTCACTTCTGACAATAAAATTAAATTTTATGCATGACCAAAAAGTACAGCATTGTTGGAACTCAATTTTAGCTAATGAGCCATGGAGAACTAAAGTACAGTTCTAGAAGCTACAAATGAAGGCCCAATATGACCACCCAGGATAATTGAACATTGTGAATAAAATGAACAGCTTTCTAGGTGATAGTCTAAAGAATCACTAAACACCATAAATAAATGCAATATCATAACTACTATTTAACAAATCATGCTGGTATAATCATAACTAGCTCTAAAACATGGCATACTTCAATGTGTTGGAATCTCGAGACACACACAAACACAACAGACACAGACATATAGAGAGTATAAGCTATGCCACATTGGCACTTGGTAACATACAGTTGCTTCAGTTTCCAAATTTCACTTATCCTAACATGACGTGCAGGATGGAGAGGATATGACCAGATGGCCTCATGACCTCTACCTCCCAGAGACAATGGAATCCTAACATTTTGTGTTAGTTTATATTTGCACATTAAAGATGGGAGGGGCTGGTTGTATATAATAATTGACCCCTTGCAACCAAGCTGCATACGGATTTACCCTATATTTTACTTCATATTCCTTTAAAATGAAGTTTATGCTAGTCAAACAGCTCAGAGCAAATTTACTATGTGGTTGCCAAGTTTCAGTTTCTTGTGCAGACCTGATGTTTCCCATTGACCTTGATGACTTTAAAGGGGTGCCAATCAGGATCTCGAAGGTACTCCTCCCACAATGAGCATAGTTCCGAAGCTCTCTCCTCTACTTCTACCTCGTTATACTTCCTCTTGCTTGCTTCATGAAAAGGTTTGCTGTCAAGTTCTCCCATCCTCTTAACACCAATATGAGCGTTTTTTGGTACTTCTTTCAAGCCCTATAAAACAAGTTAATTAGATATTCCTCACAAGCTTGAAGACTTTGTCATGTGGTAAAAGAGTATGAAATATCTAAAAAGCAAAATTTATATACTTCTATCACATAGAACATTGGATATCTTGTCATTTTTATGACATAACAACAATGTGAAATCCATAATCGAGTAGAATTTCCCAAATAAAAATAAAAGAAATAATAAAGAGAGGAAAAATCAAATAATTCGACTCATTCCACTAAACTCGCCTTATGGTTCCTACATTTGGACCAAATATATATATATCTCTTCATCCTTTAACATCATTACTAAAATTTGTTACCAAAAGGCCGTATAAATATTCTTTCTGGCTTCTCATTCTATCAAAAATCATTTTAGTTATTCACATCATATATTTGGCAAGATTCAGTAAGATCATCAATATTGGCAGATGGCACCAAAATAGGGGCAGGAAAAGGTAATTAGTAGACTCGGCATTTCAAAATTATAGGAAATAAGAAAGTTAAATTAAAAAGGCTAACATTGATTAATTCTTTCCGAGCTTCCTGAAGTTCATCATTGCTCTTCCGCTCCTTCACTATAAGGGTTTGGTTCAATGCTTCTAAATCATCGAGATCTCCTTCCTTTTCTCTTAAGTTTTCGTGCATTTCCTCAACCTTTTTAAGAACTTCTAGGTCACCATCATCTCCCATGTGCTGCATAACATTTAATGTCCCTCTCAGTCGCTCAATTTCTAGCTCTAGTGCTTGCTTTGCATCCAGTTGTTTTTCCAGTTGGATAATTCTCTTGTGGAGATCCTCCTTTTGCCTCTGAAATCAAAAGTTACAGCCATACCTCGAGTTATCTTACGTTTGACTTGACACAGAAATGTTAAAGGCATTAATCAATGACCAGTATCAATTTACAAACCTTCTGATCTTCTGCCAATTTCAGTACATTTTCATCTGCCTTCTTTTGTTCTATAGCTGCTAACTGAAGCGAACTATTTTTCATGGCATTCTGAGAGAATAACGAAATTCATTTTGTCAAGCATTTCCATTTAACAAAATATTACAGCATACAATCATGACAAATAAAACCAAATACCGCTGCAGAAGCAAATATATGCAACAAAAGTTATTGATGATAAGTTTGTGTTATAAAAAACTGATATTGTTTATGTAGTAGTAGTATTTATGTGTAAAATTACCAACAAAAAACACAAATTAAATAAACTGATATGACGAATAATCTTTTCATATATAAACAATTATGATTGCATTATACAGATGTAACAGAAACCTTATCATAAGGCCTGTGAGGGCCAAGGCAACAACTACCCTGACCAGGATATCCCATTTATCCAACAATGTTAATGAGGATCACGCTGCTATGAACATCCGCATCACTACGATTCTCAACCTTAAATACACATCCAGATCATAATCATCATATATTGATGCCATTGCACCTATCTAACAATGATGCTCGACGGACCAACCTATGACAGGACCAAGTTGTGTGTGTGTATTTGGTTTATGGACATGTGTTGTCTGTGAAACCAGTGTGTGACAAGCAACTCTGTTTGGGGAGTCATGCCCATTCAGTCATAAGTGATAGAAATGTAAATCTACATGCCTCACGGATAAGACACAAAGCTCAAGGATACATTAGTCTATCCCATATTGTAACAGAATTAGAAGAAAGACCTATTTTGCATTGACATCCAATATAAACAACCAATCAATGAAGTGTCTATAAAATAAACCTAGACGGCTAGAACACTACATTTTGAAGGTCTGGGGAAAATTGTTGATTTACCAGTTTTGACTGTGTGTGGTCATATTGGAATTCATTATTGTATAACCTTACAAAGTATTTTCATCTAATTGACACAAGGATCATTACCAATATTTTATTCCATTGTTTTGGTCATTTCATCAGTAATCCAGTACAAAGGGGAGAAAAAAAGGTAAATTTTGTTACTTTTCCACTTGAGAAAACATGTGGATTTCAGGATATCAGTGACTACTAAGTTCCTGGACAATTCATTATTGACAACAAGTGATTTACTTATTCAGTATTTACATCAGTTGCAAAAAGAAAAACAGAAACAAAGACTCGCAATTTTCAACATAAGACTTTCTACAATCAAGCAGAAATGCCACACCTTTTCAATATCTTCAGAGAGTTTTTTTCTTTCATTCTCATTTTGAGCCTCACGCTCTTCCAATTCTTTACTCCGCATCTCTAGCTCTCTCTTTTCGGTTTCCAATTGCAACTTGATTTTTTCATGGTCATTAAAAATCTTCTGGTAATGTTCTCGTGCACTGAACTGAATTTTTCTGATTTCTGGTTAATACAAATAAGCATGTCAAGAAATACTCTGCCCGCAAATAATTGTTAGTTAATAGCATACATACATATATATATAAATAGAGAGAGAGAGAGAGAGAAATTAACGTATTAAATTCAAACAATAAAAGTCTTTTCTTCTTGATACAAACAAGCATGTCAAGAACTATTGTGACCGTAAATAATTGTTAGTTAATAGGCTATATATATATATATATATATATATAAATAGAGAGAGAGAGAGAGAGAGAGAGATTAACGTATTAAATTCAAACAATAAAAGCCTTTTCTTCTTGATAGTTGCAGAGACATAGGCTACTCTCTCTAGGATTCTAACTGTCAACAGAATCAAATGGGCATACCAACTGAATAATGTCATATTTGATCTACCTGCAAGTATACTACATTAGATTTTCTTAACCTACTTCAGGTCAGTAACGAGTAATAAGTTAAGCACTATAACAGCACACACCTTCATTATGGGATTGATGAAGCCTATCCTTCTCCTCGATTAATTTGCCAAGGGAGATTGAAGTCTCAGTGAATTTGCTCTTCATTTCTTCTAAGTGTTTACTCTTGACCTCAATTATGTTTGTCAAGTTAGATAATAGTTTACTTGTCTTCCGAGCCTCTTCAGTCATGATATCAGAAATGGTTCTAAGGTCTCCAATCTTACGAAGGTGTTCTCCAGTAATACCGTTAGACTTATAGTCATCAGCACGAGCAACCCAACCATAGAGATCAGATCCTTTGTCAGTGGTAGCCTGCCAGTCCTTTTTTCCATGATGATCTGCTTCGTAGGCCTTCTCAAATGACATGGCATTGCTGAACCCAGACCAGTCCTTATTAAATTCCACGATGGCACTTCCTGAGTGGCCTCGATAATTCCACAGAGATTGGACTCTTATGGGATTGAAGCCTCTCTTTATCAACTGGTCCCTCAGCTTAGAGCCACTTTCCCCAACAGAGCGCCCATCCTTACACTCTGTTGGAAGATTAACAACGATTCCAGTCCATGGCCACACAAACATCTCATCAAGGTCACAATCTGCAAGGGGATCAGTCTCAGCCACAGGTTCTGATGGACCAGCAGCAACCACTAGATCCTTCTCTAAGTATTTCGCCAATGCTAAATGATTTGCTTTATCTCTTGCACTTCTCTTTTGTGAACTAGACTCGCCAACCCCACTAGCATGCTGTAAGAGTTCCTTGTATGGGTAATCTTGCTTTCCTTTTTTTGGACAATAAGGGCAAGTGAATGTCTTGTCTGATGTTTTAACATTGTTGCTTCCACTCTTCAGCTCTTCATAAGATTTAATTTCATACTCCTCAATTTCAGATTCACTTATATCAGTGTCCTCTCCTGAGCTATGATCTGTATAACTTCCCATCAAATTTGCAAAAAGGAAACCTGGAAAGTGACATAACACACAATACAACAAATTTAAGACAACAGTTTTGAGTGTAAGCATTTCACAAGTCAAAAGGAAATTTGAATTAAGTAACATATTCCAAAGAGAGAACTGGAAAATTAACACTCTAAAAATATATTTTATAACTTAATAATCTTTATACATTCATAATTTTTTAGGAACCAACTTCATTCTGTGGTGAAAATTTAACAATTTTAATTAGTTAATGATTTTTGAAAAATTTCTGTCAATCTATTACAGAAAAGAAGAAAAATACATATGAATGTGTTGCATATGCATATATATTATATAAGAACTATAAGTAACGGTATCTTATTACTGATCAAGAATGAGATTAGGAGCTTTCTTATATTTCAAACTAGATATAAATAGAGACTTCCAAGAATGACTGATCTGAGTAAAAATTGTAATACACTTTTTTTTCTTCATATAAAAGTTCACAACTTTAGATGTGTGCATGTTCTATTCTCAAGCTGAAAATATTTTTGAGACAATTTTCCAAAATAAAATCAGGGTTGTGGGCAATAAACACTCTTATAGTATGCATATAGGGTATATAACCCCCTATAGGTTCTTAAGAGTCCCTAAACTTTACTATTGGTGCAAACAAGGGCCTGTTATCAGTGGAGAGATTAGAAGACTAAAGCGCCCTTATGTAATTGAAAAAAAAAGGTGAAAAACTAAGTGAGTGTAAAAAGACTAAAGTGCCCCTATGGGTTTGCAAAATGAGAGGGAAATGTGATTTATATATAAAATGGTATAAAGGGCATTTTGGGGAGAGCAAAAGAGTGTTTTAGGAATTTTATAACTTAAAATAGTCATGTACAACAACGTTGCGTTCGTTTTTGGGAAGATCTTTGGTGTGGGGATCAGCCTTTATGTCGTACATTTCCTAGACTATACAGTATTGCAGTTGATAAACATGCCATCGTAGCTGACTGTTATCGGCTTGATAATAGTGGGATTATGTGGAATGTTCATTTTCGGCGTTCATTTCAGGACTGGGAGTTTGACAATTTGACATGGATTCCCTCTTCTCACGGTCGCTTTGAAGTAAGATCCTTATTCTTATATTTGTCTAATTTTGTATCCTATGATTTCCCATGGAAGACCATATGGCGCTCTATGGCTCCTACTAGGGTGACATTCTTTGTATGGACCGCTGTTTGGGGTAAGATTCTGACGATCGATAATTTGAGGAAAAGGGGAAATTGTTTTGTTAATCGATGTTGCCTATGCAAGCAGGACGGGGAGTCAATTGATCATCTCCTAATGCATTGCTCTGTAGCGCACGATTGCTGGAATCTTATTTTTGGCCTGTTTGGCATATGTTGGGTAATGGCACGTCCTACTAAGGAGTTGATTCATGCCTTGAGAGGTTGCCGTGTGAGTAGGAGTGTTCGTAATTATTGGAGATCTGTCCCACATTGTGTTTGGTGGTGTAGTTGGAAGGAGAGAAATAGTAGAATGTTTGAAGGGAAGGAGTCGTCTACAGCGACACTGAAACTTTTTATTATTCGTTCTCTCTTTAGTTATGTGAAGATGAGTTTTTGTTCCTCTTCTGATGACTTAATTACTTTTTTAGATTCTTTGGGGCCTTAGACCCCACTTTCTCTAATGTTTCTGGGACGCGTCTTCTATTGAACGTCTTTTTTAATTCATTATTACTTATCAAAAAAACAAAAAAAAAAAAAATAGTCATGTACAACGCACATTACTTCTTCTTCTTTTTTTGATAAGTAAACAACGCACATTACTTTTGACGGAATATAGACATTAAGCCCTTCTTTGCCACATTTTTCAAACTTAACGGATTTGTATACCCAAAATAAAGGATATGAGTGTTATATGCCCAAAATGTAAACATTAGGGGTATTTTTCTCACTCAACCCTAAAAATTATAAAGAAAACTAATAATCAATATTTCTATTAATTAAAGATTACTGGTCTCCGAAGATCATTAACTATTAGAAGGTTAAATCTATAAATAAGGACAAAGAAAAATGAATCGTACTTCAAAATTCCAAAATGATCATGCTCTGGCATTGTCTTTCAATCAAGAGAACAATAAACTGAAAAAATAAATAAATAAAACAAAGAAAAATGAACCGTAACTGTGCTTGCTCCACAAACAGAAATCATGCAATATCTAGCATTTTAAACAAAATTAAATATATTTTCAAAGTTCAATAGATGACCTCAAACTGTAATAAACAGTGCAAGTGTGAGTAAGACTACAATATCATGAGTCTGTACTTAACAAAATTTTCTGTTTGGTAAGTCAGAAAATGCAGAAGAGAAAAAAGAAATATAAAGCTTCATATATCAGAAATTATTGGTTTATACCCGGAAAAACAGAGACCCTGCACTGATCACAACAAATCGACTAGTTGGGTGATCATAATTTTTTTTTCCTGAAGCCGCAACAGTGGAACAGATATTCAGATTCGCAATTGCTTTTCTATTCCACCATTTTCTCAGCAGCCAAACTGAGGGTAAAAACACAATCGAACACTCCAAATGCAACTCCCGCGAGTTCAAGTGATGAGAACACAATAATGCATGGCTTGAAAGAACTCGAATGCATGTGCAAAAGGGGATAAAACGTGTGACATATACATAAACAACTACATGAGAGAGATATTACATACTTCTAATTAGATGCAAACACGCTGACTGAACAGATATTCAGATTGCAAGTCGCTTTCTTTTCCACCATTTTCTCAGCTACCAAACTGAGGGTAAAAACATAATCGAACCTTGAAATTGTGCCGGCTGAGAAAATGGTGGAATAGAATAGCAAAAACACCTGACAGAGAGTGGTTACGTCCAAATTGATGGATTGCTTGCTTTTACTCAGAAATGACGGCCGTAAAAAACCCTAGTGGTAGAAATTTTGTTTTGTGATCGATACATTCCACGCTCGAACTTACCAGAAACGACAATTAACTTTTGACAGTGCGTTTGGTTACACGGCAAACGGGAAAGAAAAAGTGCAAATGAGCCGAGCCGAGCCGAGCCGAGCCGAGCCGAGCCGAGCCGAGCATGCCAAAGTTCGGCTCGGGTCGTCAAAAACAGAAGGGTGCTCGGGCGAACTTGGTATTGTCATGCTAGGGCTCGGCTCGTTTGGCCAAACACATCCATCTCATTTTCGTGTGTTTATATATATCTTATCCTTAGATAAATATACAATACCAGATTTATAAATAAATCCATGTATATATAAATAAATCCATGTATATAGTTCAGACCTTGACTTTATAAGCTAAGTGACTTCAGACCTTGTTCATCGATCTTCTCTTTCTGTCTCCATTGCAATTGCTGACCATCTCCTCACAAATCACGACTAATGAAGATGTAGCGTGGATTAGCTACACCAGAGGAAGAGAGATGAAAAATGAGATATGAGCTTGGGAACGAAGCGTGGCGGCAAGAATGAGATAAGTTAGGACCGAGAGATTGGGGATGCAATGTGCCGGCAAGAATGATATAAGTTAGGGCTAACATTATGATATGGGCTTAAGTATAATTTTAATGGATAATTATTTATACTGACTAAGAATAAATCAAATAAAATTTTACTAAACGAACTTGTTCGTGATCTTGTTGAGCTTAGTCCGAACTCATTAACGAGTCCAAAAACTGAGCTCAAGTTCAACTTGTTTGTTTAACGAGCAAGCCCGAATCAAGCAATGAACTGTTCATGAAGTCGACTCGGACTCGGGCTCGACTCAGACTTAAGCTGAGTCGAGCCTAAATAGCACTATTCATTTGCAGGCCTACTTATCTACGAGAGATGTGATAATTATATCTTAGTTCATATTTTAACCTAATTTATATACATTATGTTATATATATATTTAAATTTGTGATCAATTGTTTGTTCCTTTAGGGCCTGTGTAGTAACATGAATGATTCCTGATTTTAACTGTCAATTCTTAAAATTGAGAATCAAAAGTAAAAATTATGTTTAATAAAATATTTTTACTTTTTAATTTTAAGAAAGTACTTTCTATTTTTGTGAAGGGAAGGGAAAGTGAGAATCCGGTGCTTTCTCTAATTTATCTACTGTTCACATAAATTACTTCCTTCACTTCACTGTAGCATTATTAATAAAATAAAAAAACTTTCTAAAATCAACACCCATCTCTACCCGGCGGCCGCAAACCATCTTTTTCTGCTCTTCTTCTCTCTACCACCACAAACCGCCACCGCCGATGATGGAGTTGGAGTCACATCCGATGAGAGGAGAGAGAAGACAAACACTTTCTCTCTCTAGTTTCTCTCTCTAATGGTCTCTAAGAGGTGAATATCAGTAGCCTCAATCTCTCTCTATACTTTTTCTATATGCCCATGGGAATAGCATCAGGATCCCATCTTGCACCAACCAAGCCAAGTCAGTGAAATCCTCATCCGTTAAGTGATCTAGGGGCTTCCTAAAGTTCAATTGTAAGAAGCGCGTAAAATGGGCTTTTGATTTGCCTAAAGTTGGGTGGAGTGAATGCAATTGATCTAGAGAATGACACCTATATACAGAGTTGACCCTCAGAGGTTCTTTGGCCTCATCTAAACACTCTCTCTCTAAAAAAATTTGCAGAGCGATGATATATATATATATATAGAGAGAGAGAGAGAGAGTGTGTGAACATGATTCTTCACCAATTTCTTCCCTTGCTTGGTGGTCGTCCATTCTGGCGTCAATTGTATCACCAATTTCTTCCCATGCCTGATGGTGGTCCATTCCGGCGTCAATTGCTTCCCATACCTGGTGGTGGTCCATTCCGGCGTCAATTGCATCACCAATTTCTTCCCATGCCTGGTGGTGGTCCGTTCCGGCGTCCAGCGATAATATATATATATACATCTCATATATACAGTAAAATTGATTTAGAAAAAAATTATGATTTTATTTTTGAAGAAAATAAAAGTAAAAAGTAAAAACATTAATAAACGGGTCTCAGCAATTCTTATAAAAATATTTTTCTCAGAATTTTAATATATTTATATACTCCAATATTCAATATTTATTTATTACTATTATTTACTGTAACCAAACTTTGACATAGTTGCAAATTGAATCCTTGTACCCGCCACCTTGCAGCAGCCCAATTCGCTAGAGTTGCACCCTAACCAGGAGCAAGGTTTCCCAAACTGTTGCTAGATAAAAGGAGTCCGCGATTGGAACATAGTTATCCTAAATGCCAAACAGACCCTATTGGATTCATCTCCTTTCGGCTTTCACTTCGTCTTCATGAGCCCTCTCTCTCTCTCTCTCTAAAAGTTGAAGATCAGAATCCTGATACATCAGGTAACCCGAAACCCTAAATAATGTTCAACCAATTCGGTGCTACGGCAGAGACACTGAGCAAAGCAACGACAATGGTGTTTCGGATCGGTACGGACGCTCACCTCTACGACGATCCCGATGACGTCAACATCGCTCCACTCCTCGACAGCAAATTCGACTCCGAGAAATGCGAAGCTCTCAAGCGATTGCTTGCTCTCATCGCCCAGGGCTTCGACGTCTCCAATTTCTTCCCTCAGGTCTTATACTATCATCCCACGTTTGGTTACTGAGAATTCAAAAGAAAAGTAGAAAGAAAATATGGAATGTTATGTTTCTAGGCTGTATTCGTTTCCACAAGATGAGAATTCTTCAATTCAACTAAACTAAGATTCACTTTTAATCAATCAACCGAAGTTTAATTTTGTAATAACTAAACAATTGAAGTTATCTAGATAGAAAATAGTGAGTTTTGGTAGTCTATATGGATGCATTAATTAAATTTGGAAAATGGAAACTAAAATGCGAGAGTTTTTTGATACTATTGTCTATGCCATTAACACTGCATTAGATCAAGTGCTAGTTCATCTCATGAATTGAATTGATTTTGGGATTGTTGAGAACATTGAAGTTGTCTTGAAGCCACTTTTTGTTTACTGCAGGTTGTTAAAAATGTGGCATCTCAGTCACTGGAAGTAAAGAAGCTAGTTTACTTGTACCTACTGCATTATGCTGAAAAGTACGCGGCACACTGTAAACTCAGAACCATCTCTTCTTAAAATTAGATCTTCCGGTAGTCACCCTATATAACTCAGACACGCACTTATGTGTATACACACAGTCTTGTTGATAATGGATTATGTACGTTATTAGTTTGAATCTACGTTATTCCTTAGTTTATGAGGGGAGACTTAATTTGATTAAAACATTCTTTGGTCTCTTATTGGTCCCGATAAATGCATAGGTTGTATTACCATTCCTGACCCGATCTTCAATCATGCAATGTCAATTAATGAGACATGAATTCTCTCATCTCCCAGTTGAATTAAACAAATTGTTTTTATATTTTATTTTAAAATGGAAATAATTTTTTTGTTGAGTTAGTTAAACCCAGACTGTAAATGATGGTGTATTAGAAATTGGCATGCAAGGTGTATTGATATGACTTACTTCTGTGGTACTTTATATTCTAGGCGTCCAAATGAAGCATTGCTATCAATTAATTGCTTCCAGAAGGATTTAGGAGATCCAAATCCATTAGTTCGGGCATGGGCTCTACGTGCCATGGCAGGGATCCGTCTCCATGTAATAGCACCTCTTGTTCTGGTGGCGGTGGGAAAGTGTGCTAGAGATCCGTCTGTATATGTTAGAAAATGTGCTGCCAATGCTCTTCCCAAGTTGCACGATTTACGTCTAGAGGAAAATAGTGCAACAATTGAAGAGGTCAGCTAATATATTCCAAGTCTTTTTTGTTTTTTGTTTTTAAAATTATTGTCATCATTAGGGCATAGATCTTTTGTAACGGCAGGCAAAACAAATAGAATAGTTATAAGTTCATCTAGTTTCCTGTATCATTCCTTATCTTCCAAAGTTCTTTCACATGAGTTGGAATATAGAGATTAACACTCAAACAATATGTGGTTCAGAACTTTGAACAGTCATGGTCGTCCAGTTGGGTTGATTTTTGAGTTGAGAACTTTATTCCACAAGTGCCATCCATGTGGATCAGCTCATGGAATATAATTTACATTTCCCTGAATAACCCAGTCTATCACGGACTTACACTTCACAGTACATGGTTACTTAAAACATCAACTAGTTGCTCTTGATACTCATGTTGTAAAGTGTCGTGAACATGTCCCATCTTTAGTTTTGACTTGAATATTTGTGTGTGTGTTACTGTGTTTGTCGTGGAGAAGAGGTAGTCAGTGAAATTGTGTGCATTTTTTCTCATGGATTACCAATTTAGTTATTGAAAGGATTTGGAAACATTGGTCTCTTGTTTATTTATACAAGTTGGTTGCAACTTGAATATAGTTGTCAAAGGTGTACCTATGCCCCAAAAAAGCCCCAAACTAGTTAACACACTTTTTAGTAGGTTACAGGCTAAAAAAGCACACTTTACTCCTTTTTTTTATTAATTTTTTTATCATTAATTATATGTGTGTGTGTGTGTGTGTTTTTTCCCTAATAGTCGTCGATTGGCATGCTTTATATTGTGGTAGTATTCAATAGATTATATTGTTTAATGTTATTTGAAATTGGGCTGTTGGAGTTAATGGGTTTATGAACTACTTTTGATGCTGAATATTTACAGTGATATATGTTAAGATCTATATGGTTGTAGTCTTCTATTATTTCACATTTACAATGGTATTTGATTTATGTATTGCATTTGCATATTAAGAAGATACATTCACATTGATTTAGTCTCTAGTGAAATGCCAAAAAGTCCATTTTTAAATTTTTTTGACTAGTTTTATGTTGCATATTTAAATGGTTTTAATCATTTATTGATATAATTCGTTTCAAATTGAAAGTATATATATATATTTATACACACACACACACATTAATTTAGATAACCATCTTAATATTTTCTCATTTTAATTTTAACTGGCTTGTGTTGCGCGCGCGCACGCACACGCACACGCACACGCACACATATATTGTTATACGTGTATTTAATATGCATTTTCATTGTACACGCGGATTAATCCTCTGAGGCTCGCTCCTTTGTGTCTAGCATTTACTAGGGCTGCAAGTCAGGCAGGTTGGAGGTACAACTTAGGCCTAACCTGACATATGAAATATTCAACCTAACCCAACCCTAACCCGACCCTAACCCGACCTCCAACCTAACTAATCAACCCGAGCCCAACCCATCCTTAAATTTTTAAACTCAGGTTTGCAACTTAGCTGAGATTTCACATTAGAAAGTCGGGTTAATTTGGTTTTAAAAACTTAATGCAAATTTTTTAAAAATTACAAAATAATTCTTAGAAAATTAATTCTCCAAAGTATTAGCATGCAATAAATTAAGATTTAAACAAAGGAAGTTGAAATGAAAAAAGTGATCATAATTTGAATGTTATATATAATATATCTAAAATAAAAATTATGTAAATATAATATTAGAATTTGGGTTTGGATTGGGTTGGGATTGGTGGCACCACAACCTAAGCCCAACCGTAATTAGGTTCGGGTTGATATTTTTCAACCCCAGGCCCAATCGTAATTGTAAAAATTGTTGCCAAACACCGTGAAAAATTAGGTTCGGCTCAGGTTGGGTTCAGGGTGGCCCGCTCAAGTTGCACGCCTAGCATTTAGTTTCCAAGGGACCTTAATACCTTAGTGCACCTTGTGCCTTCAATAATTATGGATATGCAGTCCATTGGATACTTAAAGACCACTATAGATCTAGGTTTTTTTTTATTTATTTTTTATTTTTTATTTTTTTATAAGAAAATTTCATTTAAGAGGGCTCAAGAGCAGATTGTATCCAAAAACAACTACACAAAAGCCAAAAAAGTCCACTATAGCTTCAAACTATGCACAAAATACTGCTCAAAATTACAATTTTTCCCATGGACCCTAAAGAATAAAGAATGAAGAATAGAGAACTTAAGTGCCCAAAATTGGAGCCTCCACAACATCAAAGGATCTCGCATTTCTCTGCCACCACAAACCCACCACAAGCAAATGAGCGTAACCCTCTAAGCATCAAATTTCATACTTTTGTATTTTGCACGTGTTTGTGTTACGAATTAATCCCTTTTGTATCAACTCTGATACCACTTGTTAGGAATTGATCTGCCCAAGATCAGACACAACGAATATACAATGGCAACAACGGAAGAATATGATGAAAATCACACACACTAACTTTTACGCAAAAAAAGAGAATATTACAACTCTTAAAGAATTACCAAGAGAGGTATTCCACGCTCACTCGCTAAGAAGAAGACACACTCTTCTAAAGGAATAACAATCACTCATGGCCCTCACTAACTACTTCTCTCTATTTTTCCTTCTCTCTTTATCTTTTCTTCGCTGTGTTTTCACTCTTTTCTTTATTTGGCTCTTTACAGTTCAATCAATGCCTTAAACTCCATATATATTGCCACTGTTGCTGACTTGACAAACCGTCTTCACAATTGAAACATCTTGGCATTGTAATACAACTCATGTACACCTCACATTCACAGCACGGCACATTGCACACCCCATTTTTCACTTCTACTTTTTGTTCATTCATGCATGTACTGACTAATTACTTTTTCTTCACTTCAACATATGTTGGCGCTTTTAGTATTTACGCATCTGTCAAGTTTTATGAAAATCTAATATTTGATGGTAACGGCTATTTCCATTTTCTTTTGAAAATTTAAATTTGAAAGAGGCGGGCTTGTTATGTTTATCATCCGCAGTCTCAGTGCTTTGACCTTCAGAAAATTGTCATTTATGTCTGTATATTTGTTATAATATATGAAAGGCCTTGATGACATCTACTAATAGATGCATGTACCTTATGCAGATTGTTGGGGTATTGTTAAATGATAACTCTCCTGTTGTAGTTGGAGCGGCTTCTGCAGCATTTGCTTCTGTTTGTCCAAATAATTTGTCTTTGATCGGAAGAAATTATAAAAGGTTATGCGAGACTCTAGTTGATGCGGAAGAGTGGGGTCAGATTGTCTTAATCGGGATACTTTTGCGCTATTTAATTGCCAGGCATGGGCTTGTAAGAGAATCCATTATGTTACCTTCCTGTTCTACCGAGAGTTCCCATTCTGAAAAGGATGGTTCAGATACAAACTTTGCATTAAAAGAAAATACTGATGACATGGGCAGTGGGATCTACGAGTCTGAATTAATTGATATGCTCTCCAGGAGTTACCTTGAAGGGCCAGATAAATATTTATCACGGTCAACCTACCCAGATAGGAGTTATTTTGGATTTGATTCTTCATGTTGTACGTCTGCCAAAAGTAATGATGATGTGAAGATCCTGCTGCAGTGTACTTCGCCTTTATTATGGAGTCGCAATAGTGCAGTGGTACTTGCTGCTGCTGGGGTACATTGGATTATGGCACCAAGGGAGGATGTCAAAAGAATTGTTAAACCACTTCTGTTTGTCATGAGATCATCTATTCCCTCAAAATATGTGGTATGTTGCACTTCCTTCCTCAACATTGGTTTGATGTGGCGTTCAACCTTTGCACCCATATATATATACTGTATCCTATTTCATTTTATTAGTTTTGGATTTATACTTTTAACTTTGATTAAGAAATGTGTGGGTTTAGGTAGTGAGAAAATGTGTGGCCTAAAGTGTGTACTCCAAAGGAAACAAGAAAAGAACCTCCAAAGTGATCGGAATTGAGAAACATGATTCACATATAGGTAGCCTTTTGACTGTGAACGAGCCAACAACAACACCTACCCTAAAGGGATGAAGGCTGCAAAAACTTTTGAACTGAAAGGGATTGCTTTAATAGTAAACTCATTTGTAATTCTGCTGGGAATAATTAAGACTTCAGGCTTTTTTCTAAATATAACTCATGATCTATATACTGTAGATCTGGTCCTTTTACCACTGGCTTTTATATTCTATGAATTTGTCCATTCTGTTCTGCCATAATGGTTCAAGAACAGGCCTTCAGCCAATTCCTTACGTTTGACACTCTCCTGCTATTTCATGCAATGCAAAATAATTGTAGCCAGATATGAAGCACAATTTAGTGATTTGAGAATTCTGTGGCAATTGAGCATACAATTACCACTTGAGAGTAGGTAAAGATTGACAAAGATGGAGCTGAATATTGTTGAAAAATGTGGACTGAAGATGCTGTCTGTTAACAACTATCTACTCTAAAAACTTAAGTTGTTAGAGAGGGTTAACTTCAATATTTAAATCCTTCAACACACCCCCTTACGCGTGGCAGCCTTTTGGTCCAACACGTATTTCAATTTTAATTATAAGGGTGGTGGTGAGGTTTGAACACAAGACCTTACCTGCTCGGATACCATGTTAACACAATCTGCTCTAAAAGCTTAAGTTGTTAGAGAGGGTTGAATTTATTATTTAAATCCTTCAACACAGTCTATGTATAAAACAAGTTTGCTTGGTTAGATAGGTTTTATAGGAGCTTAATGCTTGGGGGTTTTAACTCACATATATGAAATGAACTGTTAATGTCTTATGCCTTCTCTATTTGCTTTGTGTTAGAGGATAACATGGTATCAGATTCAAAGGTCTCGAGTTCAAACCTCACTGTCACCCTGATCATTAAAATTTAAAAGCACGTGTTGGACCAAAAGAAGGTCACATGTGAGGGGGCGCGTTAGAGGATATAAATATTAAAGGTACCCCCTGTCTAACAGCTTAAGCTTATAGAGTAGATGGTTGTTAATACTTTGCACTCTGAAGATTTCTTCATATGTTCTTTAGATTCACATCAAAGTATCAAACAAAGCTCCAATACTTTTAATACTTCCATCTATTTCTTTGGAGTCATCCCCCTCACTTATTTTTTAAGATTTTATATTATTGAGGGTTCCTTTCCCAACTCCCCTTTACTAAAAAAATGCAGCAGCAAAATAGAATTAAAAACTTGCTAAGTGAATACTAGCCATTATATTTTTGCTTAATATATATTTTAATATTCTACCTAAGAAAACTTCAGAGAATCAACGCAAATGTTAAATAGTTGGAATTTACATAGAAATAGTCTGTTGGCTTTCTGTGGAACTACTTTATGAGCTTACTCCAAAAATTCTTTTATTTATTTATTTTTAAATTGTTCAATTTGGCATTCTTAATCTGTAATTTTTATGCTTCCTTCTTATACATTTGATAAGTGCATGGAACTTGTACGTATGTCTTGGTGATTCAATTTCTATGCATGCTCTTAGACTTTTTAAAAAGCTTTCTAAACAGCATGCTGACAAGCATGGGCTAAGTGGCTTAGCACCTCTTTGTATTTTTTTAATAAACAGACACAGGTACACACACTCGCATACACGTATTTGGTTATTTTTTTGGGTAATTTGTATTTATGGTTCTCATTGGTAGTTCATTGCTTTATTTTTTAATTTAAATAATGGGAGTGTTTTTGCACTTGTTTTCACTTTATGTATTGGTATGGATCATGGCATCACTAGAATTGGTATTGGCTGTTGGGCATTAAGTGGGCCGCGTTTGATTTGAGATTCAAGCCAAAATCCATTTTATTAGGTTTGGATTTTAATTTTAAATCATAATTTTAAAATGGGTTAAGAAGAATCCGTCATGGATCCAGTTGGATTTGGATATGAGTAGGCATGAAATGGACTAGGTTAACCCTTGATCCAATCCAAGCCAGGCCCTTTTTTGTACATGTTATGACTTGTTTGGATTATATGGGTCGGATATTGCCGATAGAATACACTCAGATGGTTTGCATTATATGGCTGTGATATGCATTCAGATATTGCCCACGGTAAGTTCTATTTTAATTCCTATGCTTTGCAAATGGTTTGCATTATACCAACTGCAATATTTCAAGGTTCTGTATTACCATTGAGAATTGACAAGGAATGTTCTTGGGTGATACAGGTCATGCATATTTGTGTTTCCAATACCAATAATATTGGTTTTGGTGTATTTTCTTATATATATATATATATTTACCTATGCAGGTTCTTTGCAACATTCAAGTATTTGCAAAAGCAATGCCTTCTCTCTTTGCTCCATACTTCGAGGACTTCTTTATATGTTCTTCAGATTCATATCATATAAAAGCTCTGAAACTCGAAATTCTCTCTTCCATTGCCACAGATTCATCAATCTTGTCCATTTTTCAAGAATTCCAGGTATCTTTTTTTTTTTTCCTTTTTCCTTTTTTTTTTTTGTGTGGTTATATTATCTTCCATCACCTGCCATGACAAAGTAATTGCTTTTAATGGGGACATTTTCTTTTTCTTGTCTAAATAAGTTTCTAGTTAAGTATATAGACTATAGACAGTCAAATTTTTTGAGAACCTTGCATGTTATTTTTAATCCTTTGCCTCAAATGTTGTTTATTTGGGATCTGGGAAGCAAAGTGCCAGTTGTGTGTTCAATGACAAGCCAAGTTCTTTTAGTTCTGTAAATTACTTTGCGACTCGTATGTGTGTTGGGAATTAACATTCCCACTCTCATCAGCGTTCTAGTTACTTATTCAATTATTTGGCCCTGCCTACTTCAACTTGTGCTAATTTACTTCACATCTTGTTGTTGATGGTGTCCTTTAATGCATGATATATCCAACTAAGTTCCATTCATTATCTGATTAGGGATCTCACAATTCTAGTTCTCAACTTTCACTTCAGTCAGTTACAATTATATATCTCCTTGGGATTGATGTGAATGACTTGATGCTTATCTTTTAGTTCATTGCTAGGATTATATTAGAGATCCAGACAGGAGATTTGCTGCTGATACTGTTGCTGCGATTGGGTTATGTGCACAACGCCTTCCAGAAGTAGCAAACACATGCTTGGAAGGGTTATTGGCTCTGACTAGACAGGGTAAGTGGCCAACTATAATATTGTATAGGATCTTTTAAAAAAAATTGTTATATCCTTTAAAGTAACTTCCGATGAATGCAGAATTTAGCAGTGATGTTGGGTCTGTGGATGAAGAAGGGGGTGTTTTAATTCAAGCAATGATATCCATCAAAACAATCATAAAGCTAGATCCGCCTGATCATGAGAAGGTGCTTTTCTCATTTATCTTCTATTTTTAAGCTCATTTGACTGTGGTGGTTCATTAAGCAAGGGTTTATAAAACGAGGGTGTAATACGTTTTTGATTATTTGTGTATATGTCTCTACCAAGTCTGGTGGAACTTAGGTGTACTCAATGCCATTATTTTTTCTTTAACCTTAACGTGGACCTCAGCATAATAGTTTTATTCTGATGGCGTTATGGTTTTGTGTCTATAAATGCACATTTGGTTTGCATTTTAATATGATAATAAACTTTTAGAATTTTTTTCAGGTTCTGTTCTTATTTATTTTCTTTATTTTTTCTTTCTTGGAGATTATACATTTCTCCTTTATAGCTTTGCTGAGTTATAGTTTGAGTCCTTTCATTGTTAGTGGTCCTTTTGGGGTGTTGTTTCACATTTTTACTCTTTATTGGATGCACTCCTGTACATTTTTGCAAATTAATGCAGCTATAACGATACTGTGCATATATAATATTTTCCTTTTCAGATTCTTGCTTACTAGTTGTGACTTTTACATCTTTAACAATTGTTAATGTTTCTGCTTATGGTTTTTATGAAAGGTGAGCAACTTTTGTGCAGTATCCTTGCACCCCACCACCCTCCTCCTCCAAACACAATTTTTAAAAAAAAGAAAAAAATTCTGTGATGTATGCAAAATGCAAAATGCAAAATGATAAATATTGCACTTCTGTAAAGCAAGTTTTATACCAAACAGCATCATATGGCGTTGTTATAAAATATGCAGAAACTTATTTTCAATTTAATTCCATTAACCATGAGAAGCAAAAGTCTCATTCCAAGTTGTCATAGGTTTTCACTCATCACCAAACAACATTAAAAATGAAAATGTTTTCTTCTAGGATCATTTAGAGAAACACCATGCTTAATGAACATGTTTAAACAAAAAATATTGAATAGAGTAATCTCTGCTAAATAAACAAAAATATAAAATGGACGGCTTTAGACTTGGGAACAATCGACACCAGAGATGGTACCAAATATGGGATTTGGTCTCTTGCTCTTACAGCTGCTGCTTATGCTTCCTGCTTCTGACTAGCATTTTTTTTCTCAGCGTTTTGCCTTCCTGGTTGATATGCTGTATATTCTGTAAAATTAGCTCTGGTCTTCTTCGAATAAATTTTGTAAATTTTGCCAGGAATGCTCCCATTTTATCAAACCAATAAGTGATACAAACTTTGGTTGAACCATCATCGTAGATGATGAAACTGGTAATAATACCTTTGTTAAATGAGACTTTCAACAGGTCTTTGCAGAAATTTCAAGTGAATATGCCATTCAGCGACTCATTGGTTCTTTCGAGGCTGTTGTTGAAAGACATCATGTTTCTGTTTGTGTCCTTGCTGATGCTATCTATGGAGTTTTGTCCTTTTCATTGCATTTTAACTCTTAATTCTTTTTTGGAAAATATTACTATCACTTTCATCTTTGCAACATGTATCATTGCCTTATTTGTGTCTGTATCATAAATTTAATGACTCAAGTTCTTTTATTGTTGGTTTGATTTGGTCACAACAGCAGATTAATCAGTGGCAAATTTGTATTATCGCCATGACACTTTAGATGATATATTTGCGCTGTTCATGATGGTCCAATACTTTATTTTTATGAAGGTAATTATTCAGTTGGTTCGAAGTTTGGAATCAATCAAGTTGCCTGCAGCGCGCGCAATGATTATTTGGATGGTAGGCGAGTACAACTCTGTTGGGCCCATTATTCCAAGGATGTTAACCACAGTACTTAAGTATCTTGCATGGTGCTTTGCTTCGGAAGCACTTGAAACAAAGCTACAGATTCTTAATACTGCTGTCAAGGTGATTCAGACTGTGAACTATTTTCACTTTGCCTTGTTTTCTATTTTCATATGTATTAGAATAGGGAAAATTAAAAACCCATTGCCACTTTCTTTATCAGTTTCGACTTACAAGATAGTCACCAATTTATTTTTATTTTATTTTATTTTATTTTTACAAGGGCCCGTTTACTAACGCTTTTACTTTCTTATTTTTACTTTCTAAGAAAGTAAAATCATGATTTTGGTTTCCTAAACCGAAATAAAAAGCAGAATCGTGTTCAATAATTTTTTCTACTTTCAATATTTTGAAAGCAAAAAAAATAAGAAGTTTAGTAATTATAATTTTTAATTTTATTTTTGATGGTCAACTTTCTCTCTCAAAAAAAGGCTCTCTGTGGCTTACCTTCCATGGCCGCTTGATAAGTTGCCACAAAGAGAAATTGGTGAAGTGGGTTGGAGGGATTGAAGGTGGGCTTGTGAGAAAAGGTGAGATGGATTTGGCTAGGAAAGAAGTCGTAGACATTTTTTCAAGTATATGGTGTATGTATATCTATCAATCTGGTCCCATTGTTGTTGGTGTTACTACTGGTTATCGACTAAAGGGGCGGTGGTGGCGATTGTGCGACAGGGATGGTGGTGGCCGGATCTGCAGCAACGACAACGAATGCGGCAGCGAGGGTTTGCGCTTTCGATTTTTTATTTTCTGTGACTGGTTCAAGTTGATTTGCTGATTTGGGTATATTGTTGATGGGTTTTTGAAGAATCTTTGTGTATGAGAGAGGAGGGAGATGGTTGTGGGCAATGGCTATGGTGGGGATGAGGTGGGGAGGAGGCGGCGGCCATGGTGGGAGGAGGCTGCAGTGTGGGTGGAGATGATGCGATAATTTTGGGATATTTTTTTTTTGGGGGATAAACAGTGCTACAGTAAAGCTACGGTAGAAAAAGTAATTCCTATACACAGTGGAGAAATCACAGAAAGTATCCTTTTCTTTCTCTTTCCTTCATTAAATCTGAAAGTACTTTCTAAAAGGTGAAAAGTAAAATTACATTAATAAACATAATTTTTACTTTTACTTCATATTTAGCGTTAGTAAACAGGCCCTAAGTAAATCTTAGTCACCAATTTTAGTCATTGGTGACGGTTTGTGCAGTAGGAACTTGGTTCAGGGGGATGCTAGTCCCTTCGATTATCGGAAGCACAACCTTTTAACTTGGGGATGATAATTTTGTTAAGATTGGTTAGCCAATTGTTTTTGATATTTACAGATATCGAGATTACACTGAGTTGGTTAGGCTTATCACTTGCATGGATTAATTGGCAGTAGACTGTAGTGCAATTTTTTAGTCATAATGCTTCATGGTACTTAATTCCCGTCGACTTTGATGCTCCCTCAACTCCTTGAGATGCTTTCTGGCGATCCTTAGCTCTAATCCCTTTTCAGTGAATAGTAGGAATTTTCTGCTTGTTTGCTCTTATTCTGGTGATAATTCATGGAAAATTAGCTTTGAGTGCAGGGAAATTGGAAACTATTACAAGGCAACGATGGGACTGTGATGGTTTGCCTACCCATAGGGAAAAGATAAAATTGTGTTCTATTAAAATTTTGAGTGACAATACCAATGGGCTCTAGCCTAGATGGTATAAGCTCTCTTCCCACTTTGGGGAGGTTGAGTGTTTGAGTTCCGGTGGGGGAAAAATATATATATAGTGAGTGTGTGTTTGCTTGAACTTTTGAATTTTTTTTTTTTTTGATTGATAATCAATTTTTAGTGTTTATGAACAGGGTTAGAATTTGACAGTAAATGTGTGACATTGGGGTCATAGTTTGTATTGATTAAACAAATTGTTGGAATTCCTTGAGTAATATATTCTCGAGGGCCATATATTCTTCATGCGACGCTGTGACGTTAGCGCGGATGGGTTCCTGGCAGCCTCATAGGCATGTTTTGTTGCCCAGTGATTTTAAGTTTTCATCTGGATTAGATTTCACTATTGCTAATTTAAGCTTGGAATTTTCAACAATTGGATCTGATAAAGCAAAAATCTCTTACTTATTCCTTAAATTTGTATGGATCAATAATAAACTAGGAACTTTGAGTTATTTATTTTTGTGTTACAAATTCATTATTAGTTTCCTGTCATTCAGCTGCAGGGTTCGATGTGCTAATTTCTTTATTTGGTTAAGTTGTGGTGGTGTTAGTAAATGCTAAATTAATAGTGAATCATTATCTTTTTCTTTCTTTTTTTTTAATTAAAAAAAATATCTTGTTCACCGTGTCATTGACTTGAAAATAAATATTTTTCACCTCTGAATCTGATGGTTTGAAAGCCACCTCTGCCTTACTTCATCAACTGTTTTGTTTTTCTTCTCTTTTTTAGGTCCTGTTATGTGCGGAAGGGGAAGATCTGCAGACATTTGGACGAATCTTAAACTATGTGCTTGAACTTGCCAAATGTGACTCGAATTATGATGTCCGTGACCGGGCTCGTATAATAAAGAAATTATTGTTGTGCTATATTGTCTCCCATGATTTGGAGGAAGAAGCAAAATGTCTACCACAAAAAAAGGACCTGCCGCATATACTTGCAGAATGCATATTTAGGCAACAAACCAAACCAACACCACCTGAACCCACTAATTACCGTTTTTATCTGCCTGCATCTCTTTCACAAATAGTTCTTCATGCAGCTCCAGGTTATGAACCTCTCCCAATGCCTTGTAGTTTGGTTTACGATGAGCTCAGTCACTACTGCTCTAGCGTTGTTCGACAAATACCAGCATCAGGGGAGGTAGCCACCAATAGTGACTCATATGGTGGAATAGATGACCCTGACAATGTATCTGGATCTTTGGATGATGAAAGCACTTCTGATTATAGTTCTCAAGATTCTGTAACCGGCTCAAGTGGCAGTGGTGGTGGTAATGAGGGTGTTGCTGCAAGCGCAGGTGATTGCAATACTGATCCTTTGATTCACTTTTCAGATGTTGGTAATGCTTATAAAAATCAGAATGGAGGTTCAGTGGAGAATAATGCTCATTGTGGCTCTGATAATTTTGGAGAATTGATGTCTAATAGAACTTTAGAATCTTGGCTGGATGAGAGCCCTGGTTTGTTGAGTCAGAGTTCGTCTGAACTAAACCATACCCAGCGATCTTCTGCAAGAATATCTGTCGGGGATATTGGTTGTAGAGTTAAACCTAAATCTTACACTCTCTTAGAACCTGCAAATGGAAATGGCTTGAGTGTGGATTATACATTTTCATCTGACATTTCGAATATATCTCCACTGCTTGTATGTATAGAAGTTTCCTTCAAGAACTGTTCCACCGAGCCTTTGTCAAAACTATTATTGCTGGATGAGGAACCTAACAAAGTTCTAGATTCTGCAGACCAATCATCAGGAACGACTGAGAGGTGATTTCATGCTACAGTTAAAATAAGAAATTCACAGGTTTTCTTTTTCTGATTTCTTGGCTGAATTGTAAAGTATTTGTGAGCAAATTAGATATGATGTTCCTATAAAAATTAATTTTATCATCCGTCAGTTGTCTGCTATGTTGACTCATTCTCAAAAAAGTTTGTAGCAAGACCTCTTTGATGGTCCATACATACAAATACTATAACTGGTGACCATAAAGGTTCAATCATGAGTTTTTTCTGAAATATTGTCACTGTGGTGCAAGGTTGGATAACTTCGTACTAAATATCAGTGCTCCACAACTTACGAGTTGACAAAATTTTATTCATTTAGACTTCATTATATTTTAGGTGGAAATGTTAGAAACTTGAGGTTAAATATATTTTGCATAAATCTAATGTCTTTCTTTTGAGTTGGTCTTGTTGATTGAATTACAAACATGTGGCTGAGTTTCAAATTTCATGTCAATTTTAAGAGTTTCTAAGTATCATTGTTGCTAGTTTCAATATTGTCACAGTTTTTAATCTGATTACACTCACAACAACGCACATCATGATAGTTCTAAAATATCACTTGTTGAACCAAATACTGCATCAGCTTGTTATTTTTAAGTGTGATTTTCTCATTTGCCATACTATGCCCCTACTCTGATGGGGATTATTAGATTTTTGTGAAGTGATTTGATGCATTCTCAAGTATTTGTTCGAGTCCAATATGTGACTCAGGTGGTTCTAATGTCACTTTTCTTACTAGTATCTTACATTTCGGTTCCTTAGAGGCTTATTAATGCCACACTTGGTCATCTTGGTAATGCAGTCCCTTGCCATCTCAGAGTGATGTGCCAAATCTAGTTCCAATGGAAGAGATAACTTCCCTGGAAGCTGGTCAGACCATAAAAAGAATTCTCCAGGTTCGCTTCCATCACCATCTGTTACCTCTAAAGCTGGTCTTGCGGTGCAATGACAAGAAGCATCCTGTAAAATTGCGGCCTGACATTGGATATTTTGTAAAACCTCTTCCAATGGACATGGAAGTGTTTGTGAACAAAGAATCTCAGCTCCCTGGGATGTTTGAATATACAAGGAGGTCAGTTATTTTCTCTGAATTAATAGTTAAGTTCTCTCTCCCTCCCTTCCTTTTTATCACTACCGCTTCCTTTGAGAAAATTTTAAGACCAGTTGGTAGCTAAACCCCTGAAGTAGTGCCCATTGTAATTTATATATTCCTGTAATTTTCTTGAAGGACTGCTGAAATCTATAGCTAAAATTTTAGAAGAAACAATTTGCCAAATTCTCATTTTAATTAGTGAGTTTTTCATTTTCGTTTTGTTGTGACATATAATGCTGTAGACTTTTTCTTTCCTTTCTGTTGTTTGATAAGTTAATCCCAACAAATAATTCTTAAATATATACTAGGTTTTCTTTTCATTATTCTTTTAGGTAAAATCATTTGCTGTGCCTTCGCTTTTGAGATGGAGGTGTTTTCTCAATAAAATATTGGGGATCAATGTTAGAGAAGCATCTCAAATAATTTACCCTAAAAAAAGCAGCTCAAATATGAATGATACATGCAGGTCTAAAATGGGTCTTTAGGTCGAATGTTGATGAGACATTTTTTACCTACGTAGTTTTTCTTTATCTTGTCTTGGCATTGAATCATAGTAAAGAAAATGAAAGATTTTATGAATTAGTAAAGAAACAATGAATCAATAATGGAACTAGATTTTTAGTTGAAAGAAAATTTGATTTTCTTAACCTTACTTTCCGAAAAAAAAAAAAAAAAAAAAAAAATTGATTTTCTTAAGCCCTATAAATATTCCGTCCTGGCCAAAACCACATTTTGTATCCAGGTTACTGGGTTAGTATCTGAGTTGGTAGATCTTCCGAACCTCAAGCTTCAAATCTTCTCCTTGGATTCGTTTCTCTGGTCTAGGGACCTGACCAGGTTTAAAACATTACTATCATCAAGTGCTGTGTTACCTGTGTACATGGCATGGATTTGACCGTCCTTATTTTTTCATCTAAATGGCCTATCATTTCCAATTTTCATTCAACTTGAATTGACACATTTTAATTTAATGTCACTTTGTATTGTTCACACTTCAAATGCCTCGAGTTTTAGCTTGAAGCGTTTGGAAAATGGAACTTAAATTTCAGGTCTAAAAAAAGGTTGTCTGGTTGTTTTTGTGTATACTCGATCAAATTTGATTTATCAAGTTAAGTTGTAGACCATTTTCTTCAATTAAAAAATACAAAGTTCTCATTTTATATTTTAGACTATGGCCTATAAATTACCTTGTATGTGAGTTATAATGTAAAATTCTGTGTATAGTAGTTATACTGCTAGCCCTTGGCTGGGAGAAAGGGATGAAGCAAGATATATGTTATAATAACCTCATGGGAATTGTCGGAGACGGTAATTCATCCATGGAATCATCTTGTTTCTAAAAAGCCTGAGTGTTGAAATTAAAGGGATGAACATCTTCCTTCTCTTGGTATATATATATAGTGGAAAATCATATTTCTAAAGTACTCTCTCCCTCGTTATTTCTCTTTCTGAATTTGGAATCTTGGTTGACTTTTGTTCTATCCTTTGCAACAGGTGTGTCTTCACTGATCACATTGAGGTACAGAACAATGACCAGGGTGATAGCTCACTGGTAAAAGACAAATTTCTCGTAATTTGCGAGTGCCTAGCACTAAAGATGCTCAGTAATGCGAATCTCTTTCTCGTATCTGTGGACATGCCCGTTGGTACCGGCTTTGACGATGCATCAGGTTTGCGCCTCCGGTTTAGCAGTGAGATATTGAGTAACTCCATCCCCTGCTTAATTACTGTTATTGTTGAAGGTAAGTGCTCTGAACCACTGAATGTGTCGGTGAAAATCAACTGTGAAGAAACCGTATTTTGCTTGAATCTGTTGAACAGGATTGTGAATTTCTTAATCCAGCCTTCTCTCACCCACTTATGATCCGGGAAGGGTGACTGTTTAATTACGAAATTTGAGAGTGAATTGTAATTGTGGTTTCATACGAGTGAAAATGTCACGCATGTATATAGTCTTATTGTATTATTATTTTTGGATAAGAATTGTCTTATTGTAGCATAGCTTTCCTTGGTGTTCAGGATCGAAGTTCTCTTATTTAGACATCATAGCTGCCTGGGAGGTGTATTTTAACACATTATAGGCAAATTTGGGAATTTTTGTGATGAGTATTCTTGTATTCGAACTTTGAAATACTTAATGGCATTTGAAATAAAATTGAGTGGCATTTTGATGTGGATATACTGCTTGTTTTTTATGTGGCAATAATGATATTCCTGAGAAAAATGACAGGTAAAAGAAATTGCTTTTCTAATGTTGCATCAACTGGTACGCTTTCCGAAAATTTTACCAAGTTGCATTTTTTTTGTAATTGTTTTGTTATTGTCAACGGTGAACATTTAGATTAATTGACTTGTTGGTTGATGACCGTATTATGAAACACAGAAAAAAAATAATTGGCATTAAATTCAAATTTTATCACAATATGTCTGGAAAAGAGTTATAGTTTATTTTTTCTCATCAAGTATTTGTTTCAATATGTTTCAAGTTTCAATTTGTTTTTGTTTTTCTAATTAATATTCTTGTGTGTGTGTTACCTTTACAAAGGCAGGGACTAGCAGATAGCAGAATTCAGACAAGCGTTTATTCGCCCTCCAACAAATCCTCCATCGCTGCACTCTCCAAATCTCTTAAAATAAAATAAAAAAAAGTTCTTAAATTACATCTTATTTAGATATAATATTGTTTGCTTTTGGTTCCCTCGGACCAGAGACATTTCAAGAGGTTACCCATTCTGGTACTCCAGAGTAATCACGTTTAACTTTGGAGTTTTGATGGGTTCTTGATCATCACAGCTTTAAAACGCATTGTGTCATATAAAAGTGTTGAACTTTATATATGACACTTCACATTCCCAGACAACGTGGGATCATAATACTCTGTAACCACAGAGGTCATCACAACCAGATTCTCTGTCCCCATCTTGACCAAACAAAACCTCATCCTTCGATCAACACTCTTTTGTATTCTTTACGTCATCAAAGCTTCTTTCCCAACATTCTTTATTTTTTTTTTTCTCTTCAAGACTTAAAAGCTTACCAGATCACTGTCATCACATCTCTGTCACTCTTAGATTCCAGAAATTTTGTGGGTCTTGTGTTAGATGTTATGGTTATGTTGAAAGTGGGATTGATTGGATGCGTTCGAAGGATAAATATTATTTCGGTTTCGGTCTCCATTTCGTTTCATCTTGATTTCTTCCATTTGATTTTCTATCTCTGTTTTTTCATCTATTCTTACACATTGGTTCTTGTAATTTGTTGAAATTAGGTTTGAAATTTCAAATGCTTCTGAATAAATTTAGAGAGCTCTCCTCCTTTCATCATCCTTTTCCTTATTAGTCTTCATCGTCAGCAGCTTGAGTGCTCATAAACTTGAATATCAAGATATTACTTATAATGTGTCGGATAATGAAATCAACAAAATGAAAAAGATAACTAACAAGGAAAATCGTGTCTTGCTGTGCTACAATTCTTAGTATGAGGAGTGGTGGGAGGAGACGATAAGAGAGATCAATTATGAAATTGAAAATTTTAGAAGCCAAACATGGTGTGATTTTGAGATATTTTTTGATAATTTTAGTTAAAGAGAGTAAAATGGCTACAATATCAACTCCCTTGAATTGATGATGGAAAATGATTTTTTGCAGTGAATTGCTAAAACTATTTCTTTAATTGGTCAATTAGGCAATAAATAAGAAAGTAAAGCCCTCCACTTAATTGTATTTGGTATAAATAGTTAATTAAAAATTATTCGGTTAGACAATTCACTGTCGGTGTATCACTACTCATTAATAATATATATATAAATATATATAATGAATTTATGCTATTTTTCGTCGGTGACAGAGCCAAACATTCACTTCAAAACTAATTTTTATCGTTTTCACATAGTATATGTGAAAAGAATCAAATTAATAATGGAGTTGGATAATGAATTTAGATTTTAAATGATTATTCATTAAAATTGGCTTATGTTATGTTTGGAAACACGGATTAAGTAATTGGATTTGAAATTATAATTGAATACGAGTAAAATTTAGTTTAAATTTTTAACTGAATTTCTTTTAATTTGAAATTTAAAGTGCTGATTGGATGATTCTAAACACGACATTAGCGTTTCTAATAACGTTAGGTTTGAAGCAAAAAATATTAACCAACTAAAAATTAAATAAAATTACAGGAATCTATATTTGATATGGTATATACTAAACATGAATTTTTTTTTACTATTTGAACCCTCATGGGTCTATAATAGCATTTTTATTGACAGATACTTTTGGAATCCTGTGCTCGTGACTACTACTCATTCGCTTACAAACTAAGCATTTTGTACAAGGCAATCACTTTCCCTCGTTGCTAGGACTTGATAATCAGACTCCAATTATTTATACAAGTATTTAGTAGTAGGATGTGTTATAATTAATGACTAACATTTATTCTGTAGAATCTTCTTGCAAAATATTTCGAATATTTACAAATCTCACTTTAACACTCTAATCTCCAATTTTTTATAAACTATCCCATTTTTTAGAATATTCTAATGATGCTTCATAATTTTCTAGAAGACACTCAAATTCAACTCTCCATGTGTGGTAGAAATACTCCACACTCGCAACCTTTTCTCCCGATTCACAGGGTATAATCTAAGTCACATAATTCGCTTAATAGATAGTCGCTCCCAAGCTATGCTCGCGAATCGACGACTTGGGAACGGATTCGCGAATTCAAATTTTAGAATTCGCGATTTCAGTTTAGTGATTCGCGCATTATGTGCGAATTATTCCACACAAAGCAAAAACAATTGTTTTAGGGTAAGAATCCAAGTAAACAACGCGTAGTGAAGGAATGGCACGCCAATGGTTGTTGGAAATTAAAAAATACTTGCCACTTAGTTGCGTTATTGCTCCTTTACTAGTTGGCACAAATAAAAAAAATATAACTATTTCATATATTTAATTAGTAAATGAGATTATTGATAAATATCTGATTATTTTTAAATAATATTATATTATAAGAATCAACAAAAAATAAAATAAAATAAAAATTTATTAAACATAATTACTCATAAATAAATGTTTAGACCCTCTCGGGACGCTCCTCTGCTCTCAAAATGTTTAGACTTTAACATATTTACATTCTCGCTTTATGTGACTTAGGTGTAATATCCTACTCCTACTACTAGGATAGACCCTCAAATGAATTGCATCGATCCAAGACTTATGTGTCAGTTTGAGTTGAAATGGAAGCTGTCAAGTTTGCCTATGCTTGAGCTCAAGCTCAGCTTTCTAACAGTTTGATTAGCTTGCAAGCTGCTTAGGCTTGGCTAGTTAACATTTTGGCTTCATCAATTTATCGGCTTATAAATTCTATATATACATTTGTACGGAACTATGGATATATGTAATAAATGACAGTTGGACTTGAAGAATTTACTTCAGAGAGAGCCATCTATTTCATTAGCAAACTCATCGGGATAAATTTAATTTGTTGGGTACCAGTGAGGATAAGTGATTGGTATACTCTAATTAACATGAGACAATGGCTCAGTTCCAAAGTAAACAATATTAGAGAACTTTAAGCCGTAGACACTGATGGATACAGATGGTTACCTTACCATCTAAAAATTTGCCTAACAAAGAGACGAGTTCAATCCATTAGCATATTAAATGAGTTTAGCTAATACTGAATCCAGTTTGAACAGTGGATGAGTTCAATCCATTAGCTTATTGAACAGTTTCATGTAGAGATTGGCTTTTATCCGATCTAAAACGCATATGTTTGTTTCACACAACTCCTCCTATTGACTTCAAACAAATTCCACAAACTTCCTGTACCCTGAAAGTCAGATCTTAACCATGTTTTAGTTCCAACTCCAATTAAACTTCAATACAAAAGAGCTATTTTGACCAAGATGGAACGAGCCTCTAGCTGAAACGCCGCCTTCAAAAATTTTTTTTAGGGCTCCTAACAAGTTCGTATAATACTATATATTCATGGAGATATAAGAATTTCTCAAAAGTTCCACAATTATCCAATTACTAAGAAAATGTTCAAAACAGAGCAGACTGCAGAACCATGTATCGATCCTGACCAAAACACCACATCAGCAAACCGGATACTTTCGCCGATTCAAGTTAAAGATTAGAACTCTACAGCATTTAAATGGCAAAGTTAAAACCAAAATATGGTTGAAAACTAAAATTCAAACCAATTCGAATCTAAATCCTGAAAGTATTTAAGATATACAAGACATTTCAGCTTCTTTCCACAATTGCACATCACCACAACTGTAGTCTCCACCTGCAAGATGTCTCGAGTCACTAATAAGAAAAGCCGATCTACCCAATCAGATGCACAAGTAATAAATAAATCAGAGACTATTAAGGTCTTCTCACTTTACCTTGATTTTTATCTTTTGTACCTAGGTGACATATCAGCAGACCTTGATCTTGATCCAGAAGGCGATCTTGACGCTGGTCCTGGTGGTGACCTCCTGTGAGCTTGTTCTTCATCAGACACGTACGCAGATTTCCTACAAAAACATAGTCAATAATGCACGTGCACTGATCACATAACACTGAAAAAAGAGGAAGAGAGAATAAAAGCAGGCAGCACATAAATTCATATTTAACACCAATTCCAGACAGTTTTCATTAGGTATGGCAACAGACAGAAGCAGAATAAAACATCAATCTAGGTTTTCCCCTAGACTGGATAGTATTTCACAACCCTGCTTCTAGGTCGCAGGTCCAGCCACACAAGAAGCCGGGGATGAAATTAAACCGTAACTTGTGTTGAGGAGATGGGGTGTGGAATTTTTGAAACATCATGCAACAAGTAGGATAGCAATTGATTGTATAATTGATTCAACACTTTCAGGATGCCTTCTTTCTTCCATAATAATAATTTAAAGGCTGAAAGTTCTATTGTTGGTTTGATATCGAAAGTCATTACAAGAAAACCATGCTTCATTTAGTGGATCCAACAGATTTTTTAGAATGTACAAAATGAGCATGCACCCATTCTATATGTGGGGCACAGTTCAATCAACAACTATTGCAGTACAAATAGAATTAAACTTTATAACTCTAAAAAGTTCAATTTACTAGTCATACCCATTGCCATTTTGCTTTTGATCAGCAGCACCATTATAACCTGGAGAATATGACCTACGACTGTGGCCACCATCTCGTTCTTGTGAAAGATTTCTTGGTGATCTTGGGTGGTCTGCATGCCTTCTACTTGGGGAAACAGAGTAATCACCTGACTCAGCTCGCCTTCTGGGAGCAGGAGAATAGGACCTGCCAAGTAACAATTGTTAAACAAGCACATTCAACAACTTCATAGAAAGGAGACATGTAGTCTATAACCTCAAGAGTGTACCTTGAGCGATGTCGCCTTCTAGAACTAGAAGGATACCGGGGGGAGCGTGAACGTGATACTGAGCGAGACCGAGAGCGCGCTGAAGCACATCGGATACAAAGCAAAATGAAATTTAGTATTATCACTTTCCAAATGCAAAAGCTCCTCCCAGAATTACGATTCCATTAAACCTCACAACATAAATATAACTCTACCAAGAATAGCAACAAAACTGGCCCACTTATATGAAGGCAAACTATTACTCTAATCAAGTTTATTAGTATAACAAGTAAACATGGGACTCAAACAAAAACAATTAAATTAACTTTTTTTTCCTTTTCTATTTTTTTTTTTTTTTTTCAGTTTCTTTTTTAAACAAGTATTTACCATCATATCCTTGTACAACACAAGGATTTTAAGACCAAGGCAATCTTGTAGGCATAGACATTTGCAGGTTTTCCATGACATATTTGATATTTTGGAAGTCAGGACATGTAGCAGCATCTCTAGCCATGCCTTTAAGCCTGAGATGAATTAAATCAATCACTTTTTTTCTAATCCAGTTACATGTGATCCTATCATTAGTCATTTGCAGGTTTTCCATGACATATTTGATATTTTGGACGTCAGGACATGTAGCAGCATCTCTAGCCATGCCTTTAAGCCTGAGATGAATTAAATCAATCACTTTTTTCTAATTCAGTTACATGTGATCCTATCATTAGTTGAACTCATAGAGTACTGCTAAGAACATTGTAACAACCCCAAGAGGATATTCATCATAAAAGATGATTCTCCACTATTCACAATCTTTCAGCCCAGAAAAGAAAAGGAGACCAGAGCTATTCTGTAATGGTACATGATAATGTGAATGAAACTAGTCAATCAAGTAAAGCTTCTAAACTGGTGAGCTATCAATACAAGGGCTCTATACATTAATTGCTCTATGCATATAAAAGTTATCAAAGAAATCAGATCCTAGTTTATAATAAAGTAGGTGTAAACTCTGCAAAGAAAGAAATTCAGCGCTGTATTCTGCACTTTTTTTTCCTCCTTGTGGTGGGGGAAGTTGTCTAAGAAAGGCACATTTGAAATATTTAAAAACTTACCGTAATAAGATGATCTCCGTCCTCCATAGCCTGATGGCCCCCTGCTTAATGTAGAATAGAACACAAGAATGTCAATACTGGATTGACAGTATGGTCATTGGGAATGAAAAACTACTGCAGATATTACCTGACCCCAGTTCTTTGGCGCATCTCTTCAGGCCTTTTCCTTGTCTCTGCAGCAACCACAACAGATATCTCCCTACCAGCAAATATCTGCCCGTTCATGTGATACTGAGCTTCTGCTGCCTCATAAGGATCAACAAACTGCACAAATGCGAATCCACGAGGTTCCCTGATAGGAGATTTGACAATGATTCATCAAAAGTACTTTTAAGTTTGCATATGAGCATTCACTCATTGCAGAAGCACACAAATATAATAGCATATAAAGGTACGGCAACAATGTTATTACTTAGCATACCTTTCATTAAATACATAAATATCAGCTTCAGAGCACTTCTACACTGAAGTGGAAACTGAGTTTACATAAAAGCAGCCAGAGCACAAGCTTAGTGGCTGACCTTTTCTTCTAAATCAAGTATGAAAGGCAACTTCAAATGATGCAAGTGACTTGAAAATTCTTCAAAATCTCGTAAATATATGAAGCACTTCAAATCAATGTTGTCGGGAAGTTAAATCTCCTCATGTAGTCTTCTTTTGGTCAACCACCTTCTTCCTCAAACTTCTATTGATTGTGAAATTAAATAATTTTCTCTTCAAAAAGGAAGATTCTTCATTATGAAACATTACTTTAACACCTTGAAGGATCAATAATGTTAAGCAATGACAAACAGTAGGCCTTCATCAAATGTGGGGCTTGGGCTTGTTTTAACTTCAAACCAACAGACCCCCTGAGAAACCAGTTCAAAACATAAACTCGCTATGAAAAAGAAGGATTAAAACCTTTATTTCAAAATGTAACTTAGAAATTTTCCATATCTAACTTCCCTATTTCAGTGTATGCTACTTAAATATGGCAATCAAGAATGCCAGTATTATACTGAAGTAGAATACAGCAAAAAACCTACAATAATTAGCAAATAAAAGGGAATAAAAGATAACCCTTCTGCGGTGTTAATTTATCCTACCCGGTGATAATTTTTTAATGAGACATTCAGACCCATTGAGAAAATTTGGAATAACAGTACCAAACCCATGAAAACTAGCAAAATAATGGAATACCTTCTATATGGATGCAGCTATGGCAACATATTATTTATAATTTCTTTTGAAGTCAAAATAAGCTAGTTAAGAGGAGTTATAACTTACACACATATTTAAAGCTGCTAAAAATAAATCTACTCCGTACAGATCTAAAACAGCCTGTTGGGAACCTTATTCAGGCTAGTTCACCACACAATAAGTACTAAGCTGGTTCAATTAGGATTACAAAGAGTTGAGGCAAGCATTATATAGTTGTAATAGCATTGGAAGCATTATTTATTTGTAATAGCATACATCCTTTTTTTTTATAAGTAGTAATAGCATACATCCTTATGTGAAGTAATATGCAAATGAGTCAGGAATAGGATTAACAGAGCTTTTGAAACATCTTTTGATTGCTAATTTGCACCGTTAAAGGTGGAAGGATCCATCTGGCTTGTGAGTTGTGAACAAGGGCTTGTGAGTTGTGAACAAGCTCAACTCAGCAAAACCTACATGAACCGAGATTGAACAAGGGTAGCCGATCTAGATCAAACTTGAGTTTCAGCCATATTGAACCAAATCAAGCTTGAATAGTCCAATAATTAAAACTTGGTTCAGCTTGCCTTGCTTGCACCCTCCTTCCAATCCACAATTTTTTTTTTTTTGATAAGTCTCCTTCCAATCCACTTTAAAACAAGCAAGCCATAATTTTCAATGATATGAACTAACATAGATGTTGCAACACGTAATAATGGCAAATTTTTCTGAAGCAACAAAAGACTATACAAGGTTAGAAAATCATTGGTAGAAAATACTCACCCTGAGTAATAGTCCTTTGGAAGATAAACATCCCTGACTAGCCCAAATCTTTCAAATGGAACTCTAAGTTCTTCTGGTCTGCAAGCACCGATAAGGTTTAAAGTGGATTGCTAGATATACAAATAAACAAAAACAGATGGAGAATCCACTTTACATAGAAAAAATAAAGAACAAACGGAGAATCCACTTTACATAGAACTAATAAATATCAAACTCCAATAATAGCTTAGTAACTATCACAAAATAATACCTGCAATCCATAGGAATGTTTCGAACTAGAAGGCTACCATTATTCTGCTCCTTGCGTCTTCCATATCCACCACCACCGCCACCGCCGCCACCACCACCACCGCCGCCATAACCCCTTCTAGGGGGGCTTCTTCCTCGACCTCCATATGCTCTCCTTGGAGGACTGTAGTATGGAGGACTGTATCTCCGCATGGCTCAGCCTTAACAAAAACGACCATCAAACATCCAATAAAATGACTTCCATGGTATAATTACACAATATAATGAATAAAGATCGCTACTTGCTACACAGCTAGTAAAAGTTTATGATCTAAACATCACATTAAACTATCCAAAAACAAAAAACCAAGTACAATAATTATTATTATTTTGAATAATTACAAAAACCAAGAAAAATATGCTTTAGAATGAGCAGGTTTAGATGAGCTAGAGCAAACAAAGAATTTTAAAAGCTTAAAAGTATTTTTCAAGTAAATGTTTCATCAAGACGACAACAAGCTGAACAGGCATAAGAAATAATCTTCTTGGTTCTAACTACATAAAGAACAATCTTTACTACAACACCAAGAACGCATCGTTCATTGGAACCTAACTTCGTCCCATGCAACAGAAAACAAACCCTAGGGCTCTATTTGGCTACAGAGAAAAATGTAAAATAGACTTATAATTGGGGTTTGTGGATAAACAAATATAAAGTGAAAATATGAGGGATCCAGTTACACATTCCGTCTTTTATTTTCCTTCAATTTCTCAGCAACCAAACGGATAAAAATCAAAGGGTACCTTCCGCTCGTTCAGATTAAGGTTAAAAAATGCATCTAGAACAATTATATAAATATACATACATACATATATATATATAAGAATCCATTAGATTACCTGTAGAACAATAGATCCTAAGAATCAACGACAAGAGAAGATAAATTCGACAAGAGTCTCAAAGCATCGAACTTTCGTTTCAAAGTCTTCACAAACCGGCTTATAAGGACTCCACAAACTACCATGTATAAGCCCTAGGTAGGTCGACACACAAATTCTGATTGGGCCGGACCGGGCCGAGCCCATCCGTTTATTTGTTAATTTTTTTATTTTTTATTTTGACTATTTATTTGTGTATAATTAAAATTTTATAAGATTTTTGGTACAAGTTTAAAATTCACTTTGTTTGATACCAAATTCTTGAATTGATAATTTAGAATAAGTTGGAATTTAATTATAAAATATATATATATATATATATATATATAGAGTACACAAATTGAACTAAATTCTACCATTTTTTTTATAAAATTTGAGGACATTATGCTTATGTTATGTTTGGAAGCACTAAATCGGTGTCTTAGATTTGGGATTTGAGAAAGTTTTGTTCAAAATTTATACTTAATTTTCTCAAATTCCAATTTCAAAATATCGACTCAATACTGCCAAACATAACCTTTACGAATTTCAAATTTCATGAAACTCAATTTCATTTTTAATTCCTTTGATTCCAAACACTAGAAATTTCATTTTAAATTCCAAATCTCATCATTCCAAACATAAACACAGTTTATATTTATATAGATTGGGGATGTATAATTAACCTTGGCTTTACATTTCAATATGGATAATGTTTTAGATAATAGACTTTCATTAATTTTTTTTGGGAGATATTAGTGTGTTTGATTTGTTCTTTAGGATCTCCTTTTCACTTGAGACTTGAGATGATAAATCACAAAAATATTCAGTTTAAATGCTTCCAATCATAGCTATATATATTCAATACAATAATATTCCGTTTATATTTATACAACAGTACTTCGGTAATGATCTACATTAATGTCATTTAGAGATGAAATGGCCCACTTGACTTTCATTCTTTCTTTTTTTTTTTTTTTTTTTTTAATTGACAATCAAAGACAATGTATCATAACAATAACAATAACAAAATTGTGTCACATATGTGGTGTAAATGGCATAAATGGTGATGACCTGTTGTCTACATTTATATAAGAAATTATTAGATAATTTTGGACCATTTGACACATAATAGACTAGTTCAATCTAGATCGTTGTTAGATTTCTTTATAATATATTAATATACTCTTGTGAGGTCATTTTTTTAATTGAAAAGTCTGAATTAACTTGGTCTATCAAGTATCAATGGACTAGAATCCTGTAATAATTTATTTTATTTATATAACTACCTACATCCCCAAAACCATTCTCAAAGTTTGTACAGAATTCTTAAGAAATATAGGAAAATCATTTGGCAATTTTTGAAAATGTGTTGAAAGCTTTGGAAAAGCTCATTGAGAAGAAGTTGAAGAACCTTTTTAGAAAATAATAGTAATAATAATAATAATAATAATAATAATAATAATATATAAAAACCTTCTAAATAACTTTGAAAAAATCCATTCTCTATACAAGTTTCTTTTCAGACTTATTTACAACTCAACAAAACATTTTTCCAATTCCTGAAAATCAATTACATAAATCCTACTTTCTCTATCATCAATTCAGTAATCATTGATTAGTGTTAAAAAATCATTTAGAACAGTAGACTTTTTTCTGTCATTGTATACCTTTCAAGTTCTTTTTACTTTATGCTATCATTGTGTGCTCTTCAAAGGGGTTTTTTTTTTTTTTTTTTTTTTCCCAAAATTTGTTACTATCTACCTAACTTCTTTTGAATGAATTACTACAGTACAAATACAATGAACAAACAGTAGATGCTCATGTATAACTCATGGTTTACAAAAATCTCCTGTTTCATGTACATAATTTCTAGCGCCCAAAAAGGAATTCTTCAATTTTCACACGACAGTGCCACATAATTTACTAATAATTTCAGATAGTACTGCTTTCATTACAAATGAAACAACTACTATTGATATACAAATAGAAGCTCAAGAATTTTACAAAAACTATCATTTATAATGATGATTTTCCTGTTAAAACTGTATGAGATCAAGAACCCGACATCGCAAGCAAGTAACCAAAGAGCACCTTCCCTCTCTCCTCCACCATCTATGTCTCCCATGCATCGCCAGCAAGGTATAAACTCTCATCAACACGACTACGTACGAAGGGAGATGAAACAATAAAGCCTACACAAGTTGAGCAAAGGCATCAAGCCCGTGCAGAAAATTTTGCAAGATCAACAAGCAACTTGGACGTCAATTTGAGATTGTAGATTATCAGAGCCTGCAACCAAAGGGACGTCAACTTGAGATTGCATATCATCAGAGCCTGCAACCAAAGGGACTTCAATTTGAGGTTGCAGATCATCAGAGCCTGCAACCAAAGGGACGTCAATTTGAGATTGCAGATTATCCAAGCCTGCAACCAAAGGGCTCTTCTGAAACTCATTTCTTAGCTGTCCACAAGCTGCACTAGCATCAAGGCCTCGTGTTTGACGTACACTGGTAGTTACTTTCTTGGACTCTAGAGCAGCTGCAAATGCAAGCACCTGCATTGTATAATGAGATTGAAGCTTCAAAATTTTTGCACATGTCAAAGAGACAAGAATAAGATAGGGAACAAAGCACAGCGTTATCCAAAGGTATGTTTTGCTTGATGAAAAAAATAACATACAGCTTTCTTATATGGGCGCCGGTATTCAGAACCTTCTATTGGATTGAAAGGTATCAGATTCACATGATAACCACGGCCCCACTCATGGAGTAGCTCTGCAAGTTCTATAGCATGCTCTACTTGATCATTGACACCAGCTGCCATAAAAGAGAGCAGTCACTTTCATGTTGTTATTACTTGTGAGAAAGGAGGCGGCAAGAAATTTTGCAACTAAAATTTCACTACCTAAAAGTGTGTACTCAAAAGAAACCCGTCGACTGGTTTCAAGGAAGTAGTCCCTGCAATCCTTCAGAATTGCATCCAAGGGGTAGGATTTTGCACTAGGCACAATTTTTTCCCTTAGTTTCTGGTTTGGAGCATGTAAGCTGATGTACAAGAAAGAAAAGGGAAAAATAAATAACTAACTAAATAAATAAATAAACAAGGCAGTCGTAAAACACATCAGGAAAGCATTAAAGGAAATGTACCACTTCTGTTAGTTTAATATATGGTTAGAGAAAATTACAAATACAACCCCCTGAAGTTTGCATATGAGAACAGCATTTGAAGGAAAGATGGCAGTGATACCCAGTAATTCAAAATGATTCATTAAGACTCTGACTGAAAGAAACGGAAAAGGGATGAGAGTGCACAGGCGGCTGTTTTCAATAGCACTGCTGAACCAGTTGCCACACACTGGCTCCCCATAGCTCCTTCCCTTCCATAAAAGACACATAGGGAAGAGAGGAAATCTCTGCCGCGCTCTCTATCTATTTATGTGGACTCTCCAACAGTACAAATGGGAAATCACCCAATCAGGTAGTTCCTTTAAGCAAGATGTTACTTGCTTTAGCTTGAAATTGATCAAAACATTGAGAAAACAATAACAATGGTAACAATAAAAATAATAGTAATTAATCTATAATTAAGTCAAAATACAAATATAATAGGTGGTTAAAAACAGCATGATTACTCACAACCAACATAACTTTGATCACCTATTATTAAGGCATACCTGACGGCCAATGTGGACTGAAGTTTGTGTGAAGCCAGTCTTTTTATTGTGTTCGGAACGCCAACAGTAGAAATTGTCATCATTCTTTGTCCAATTTGCACATCCTTGAAACAAAGAGAACATATTGCATATGAGCTGAGACTAGAACCCAAATGCTAAAAGTTGTTGCACCAGCTTAACAACATATAGGAGGTATGCTTAGTGAGAAATATGCCTAGTAATTATAGAAAGACAAACCAGTTTGACAATTCAGTATATTATGAAATTGTACCCAGGCTAATTCCAATTTAAATCAATTAGTTTAACACATTCAGTTTCCTATCATGGATGATTGACAAAGAGATTTTATTACCACATTTCCAATCCCAGGTTGTATCATGTAGGATGACATATGCATCTCTTAATAGATATAAAAAAATCGAAGAAAACACTTCTCAAACCTTTAAAAGAATCAGAGCAACAGTATTTCATGTTTATTGTGTGTGTAGGTAATTGTTGAAAAAAAAAAAAGAAACAGATTTTTAATAACTGTGGTTCAATTTTGTTTTCTTTAAATAAAGAAAAACAAAGCACACTATAAATTACAACCAACAACTAGATGATGTTCATGAAATAATTGTAAGCGCACCTTATTCAAGCATTGGTGAGCTTCAAGAACTGTTTTCAGGTTCAACATGGGCTCACCCATCCCCATGAACACTACATTTGTGACCCTATGCTTGAAAAGATCCTCTATTGCCAACACCTACATAAATAAAATGTAGTAGCACAAAGTTTTAGTTATATAATTGTCACAATACTCAAAAGCTTGTTAGAAAGGACACAATTTTGAAGTAAAGCATTACCACCGATGGTGGGACAGTGATGGTGACTATTTAAAGCTATATAATTACAGTTGACTATCATTTCTCCCATTTCAGAAAGTAAAACAAATCACCAGAAAGGACAACTGAGACCCAATGAGAGTCTGATAATAACAGGACTACCTTTGACCACTAACTGTTAGCTTGAGTGGTATCTCTAGCCACTAAGGAGGTGCAGGATTCAAATACCGGGGGCATGCATCCTACTAAATTTAATTAAACAAAATGGCAGCCCTAAGTTTATTTATGTTGAAGACATGATTTAATTCCAATCTAAATTAAACTTAACCAAAATTTGTTCCCAACTCATGAAAAAATCGAGATATTTGAATAGCCCCAACATATAATGGACTTCAGAAAAAGAACATAGAAAAGATGTAAAACAGACCTGCTCAACAATTTCATGCCTTTTAAGGTTCCTTGAAAATCCCCCCTTGCCAGTAGCACAGAACGAGCAACGCAATGGGCAGCCCACCTGGATATTAAAAGCAAAGGGAAGACCAGATATTTCTAAAAACATAACTCAAAAATCACACAAATGAGAAGTATGCCAATGAAGGGCAAATATACAAATTTAACTCAATTTAAGAACACCCAGCAAAGGAAAAAAAAAATGTCACAGGCCGATTATCCAGTTATAATATCACCTGTGATGATATACATGCAGTAAGGCGACCTGAACCTTTATCTTCTTCAACTGGTATGCCAACTGTTTCAACCAGTCTGTTGTCCTCCAGTTTTATTAATAACTGCAAGGTCAAATAGTAAGACTGTGAGAAAAAGACAATAAAATCATATAGAGAAAACCCACAGGAGATTTTCTAGACCAGATTGATAGTAAATGAAATGTTACTAACGATCATGTAAAACAGAAATATTCCCAGTTTAAAAAACCATTTATATCTGCATGAGACTGGATAATTGAAAATTGAAATATATTTACAATCCTTCCACAAAATTTTTATTGCTTCAGAATTGTGACAGTGTCGTAATGGATGTTGTGCATACAATTTCACTTTGTCATTTTCTTTTTAGCAACAAGAATATGATCAGAATAAATGACTACATTTACTATTCTAGTTGACCAATAATTTCCATTATATTTTCGGTTATTTCCTGATATCTCAGTAGATATATCCGGTATCTCAGCTGGTATGTTTCTCTCCTCTTTTTTTTTTTTAATCATTTTTAAAACGCATCTTTACATATGTTCTTACAAATTTTGGTAAGTGTACAAGGACAAATTTAAGTGACAACTTAATCCATTAAGTTACATGTGCAACTTAATCAAACTTTATTTGGAAATTATAAAAACAATTCTTAAAAGGAGAATACTTTTTTTATGTAAAGATAGCAATATATCAGACAATATTTCCCGTTATCCCATTTTAAATCATCTGTTATAATCTCAATTCTCAAATATATTGAAGTGATGTGTTTGTTTGGTCAATCTGTTATTAAAACATCACAACGTATAGCAATATCTTGATGAAATTTAAAATTGCAATCCTATGTATACAATACCCACCTTCGCGGGCTCGCAAACTCAATAAAGGGCGGTCCCAGTTTATGTGAACAAAAGAAGTCCATGCAACAGACTGAAATTTTCTCCAGTAATCCCTCATCCATGTCAACCACTAAAAGTACAATAGTAAGAACATGTAATTGTGAGCTGGTGCATAAATTGTTCGCATGGTGCTCTCAATTTGTTTGGCATGCAGTGGATTGTCCCTTGCCTTGTGGATGATCTTCTTCGTTGCAGGGCTAGAGGTTTTGTAATATGTGTTAGGAAAATAACCATCAAGTTTCGAAGGCTGTCTCATGTGGAGCATGGAAGAGGATCCTCTCCGGTGCACATATAAGGGTGGTCATTGCACCACCCCATCACCTTTATACAGTGGTGCAATCACCACTCTTAGATGAGCACTGGATAATACAGGTTCAATGGAGAGCATTTGGGTCCGTGAAGCATATGGCAAAGGAGAATAACTGCACATTGAGTTAACTATCCATGGGATCAAAAAGTTTGATATATACTTCTTCATTTTTGGATGTCTAGGTATTTTCTATATTAATTACATTATTTTCTCTATTTCTTTTGGAAGATTTATCTTAGTACTGCACATGTACATGGTCTGTGCCCCACATGGAACTTTTATTTATAACACATTTTTTCTTACATAATACCATTCTAATTGTAATGTCATTTCAAGTAAGGCTATTTGTTATATGTATAAAACTCATTCCATGGTATCTGCAAGGTCATGTATAGAATTACTTTAACAATCTCCAAACAATTTTATTTTTTTACTACCGCATATGGTGATGGCTCAATATTAAGTAATGCTCTGTTATAGAGGATGGTTTTCGATCTTCAAAATGCCCTAAAAGAAAAAGAAATTTCATGTTTTATAGTGGAGCATCAGGGGATTATTGCTCAATACAATGCTAAAAGTTCAACTTGTCAAGCATGAGAATCGGTTTGAATATGAAGACAATCACTTTGTACACATAATAGTACAATAAGTTTGTACCCTATTTACCCCTTTAAGCACTAGGTAATGGCTACAGGGGAGTTGTTTGGTATGGGAAGAAGTACGAAGAAGAAAAAAGATTATGTTCCTGAATTTAATGAACAAAAACAAACCCATTTTGAGGGAAGAAAATGAAGTTCAATTACTAACTTTCAAAGCTTACATGGGCTGAAGCAACTAAAAATGATTGCAAAAAATTAAATCTAAGATAAGACATGGTGTATAATAGAAAAGAGTGGAAAAAGAGAATTCATGTGGCCAACCCCATTCCTAATGGATAAAGGCAAGGATGATGATGATGATGATGATTTAGTTATTGGCCCATTCGGTAGTGAGGAAAATGGAAGGAAGGAAGAGGGAAGAAGGAAAGGGGGAGGGATGGAAGGCCCTTACTTTGTTTGGTAGAAGAGAAAAGGAGGGAAGGATTATAGGAGAAATGCCCCATCCTTCAAGCTCCACCATATCCCTTTCTTCCAGAAGTGGAAGAAAATGGGGATGGAAACATTTTTATTCCAAAAGGCAGGAAACATTTCTCTCTTTTTCTACATTTGTACCCTCTCAAAAAAGCTTCTTTTTAGTTATGAAATGGTATAACAGTCGAATCAACAACCTCCGTTTTTTGCAATCGCCCCTTCCCTCACCAGCACAATCAGTAAATCCACAACCATCTTTCCCACCACAACTTCATTGCCACTTGAGCACCAGACCCCTCATGACAGCCTTTAATGCTCCATCATCTCCATAGTTATCAATCAAGTCATTATCTAGCCAATTTATGTTGAGCAAACTAGATTTCATTGATTTAATATTTGATGGAGCAGAACTGAATCTCATTCAAGATCCCATTTCAGTGGAATTCAAGATTATTGCTTTTAATGTGAAACTGTTTGTGTAGCTTCAGGAATTTATTCCAAAAATTGATATGGATTTCATTCATAATAAAGCATTTAAAGATTCAAAACAATGGAATTATACTTGGGACGTAAAGTTTTACTTGCAAGCTGAAAACCTTGCAATCACTCACAGCTTAAGGTTAATTTAAAGTCTTAACCGATTCAATTTCCTTGAATATAGCAACCTTGGACTTCCCAATACATCTCAAAGCAAAAGTGATGCAACATGGCAATCAATTAACTACAATCAAATCCTTTGCAGCTCAGTAATGAGTCTATGTTGTTCTTCAGTGTTCAAACACTAAAAAACAATGGTACCAAACCACCATTTCTTTGACTCTTATTTAATCCAAGTTTAATTATTGGCTTCATTTCACAACAAAATTAAGTGATTGAAAATTTATCAAAAGCTAAAATTGCATCATTCATTTCAAAGTGGTGCTTGAAGCCCAATGACAATATCATATCTAAAGAAATACTTGAGCTTACTTGAAATGAATAACAAGAAACATAAAATCATCCTTGGTCACCGCCTCGACCAATATCAGATAACAAAACCATTTTACCTTGATAGTGCCATCAGCTGCAGTGACCTTCTCATGAACGGGAGACCGCCCAACTCTCCATCCGGCTTCCTGAAGATCATTCCTGAATGCCTGAGGTACTGTTCACCAAAATTAAGTACAAACAATTAAAACTATCACACATAATTCTCAATGAGGAAAGCAAAACCAGACCAAACAAGGGGGAAAAAAAAAAAAAAAAACAGACCAAAGAAACAAAGAGTGCTCACTTTGACTGAAATCCTGAATTTCTTTGACCTTTCTCTTGTATAACAGATGATGAAGTTGTTTCCCTCTATAGCTTTGCTAAAATCAAACAAATAAAAAACTTAATGCAAACCTGTAAAAATTGAAATGAGACAGTGTGTGTAAAAATTGAATGTGTGTGTGTTGGAAAAAGAAAAACAATAGAATTGTTGTTTGTTTCTGAAACCAAAAGATACGGCTCAGCAAAGCCAATGAGATGTATTGGGCGAAATAAAATGGATGTTGTTGTGTAAGGGGTTCAAAGCAATGAAAATTTGGGTACTAATTTTCTTTTCTGTACCTGCATTTTCTCAGCATTCAAACGGAGCATATTGATTCAATTTTCATTTTCTGAAGTTACCTGACCGAATTCGAGAGCAAGTTGCTGAAGCTCTTGCTCAGACATGCCGAGGAGCACCTGCGAGTCCCCTTGCGAGACCTTCTTCAGAGAAGGGACAGCGACGGCGCGTGATGGTATTGTTAGGGCACGAGACCGTACCGCACGTGCGAAGGGCACGTAGCACACGTACTGAAGCAACGCCATTGGTGATTGTACTCCACAGTCGCGAGCGAAACCAGGAACAAGAAGCAGAAGAACAAGGTTTACTTAAACCTCATCTCCTCTGAAAAGACGAAAATAGGTCTAGATATTTATTTGGTGTTTAGTTTAAGTATTAGTACGCATTTACTATTTATATGACAGGTAAGTAGGAATTAACAGCAAAATTTGTTTGTTTAAAATCCCGGTGGCATTCTAAAATTTAAAGATGTATCACAAGCCGTTGAGAGGAACAATCATGTGACTGACCGAAAAAAAAAAAAAATTTAAAAACCGCAAAAGAAAAAATTATGGGAGGAGAGAAAAATTTATACTCCAAATCTTTTTTTATAACCCCAAAAATTCATTTTTCACATACTTCCTTCTAATATGATCTAAGCAAGTATTGTCCTAATTAAAACCTCTAATTAATAATACGAGAAAAAAAAAAATACTAATAGTGCATGTTTGGGATTTCGTTTGTAGCATTCAAAAGTGCGTTTAATTTAACATTTTATGTTTGGTAGAAAAAAACGTGCTTTTAAGGAATACTGGAGTAGGGATTGTATAAAAAAAATGCTTTCTACTGAACATTGAGTTGTTAAATCTTTAAGAGTAGAAATGAATATTGTAATATTGTGAGGATTGTTATTGCTAACCAGGTTTGATGTTCAATTCCCTTGAATTTTTATAGTTCAATTTCACAATTTTTACACATAACTCTTAATATTCTAGATTCTAAATATTTTATCCATTACATTTATCTAAAAAATTACAACTTAGATTTTTCATTCACATTCAATAGTATTTCAAGATTTTGGTTAAAAATTCTCTATAAAAGTGCACCTTTAACCGTTTAATAAAGAATACTTCTCAAATTGTTTCTCGAATTATTGATTTATTGGAATTTCTCTGCCCTATCTTGAAATTATGTTTGGGTAATTCACACATTTATTAGTGTTTGGATAATATTGTAAAATTAGTAATAAAAGTGTTTTAAGTAATAGTGTTACCAAACAAATTTTAAAATAGCTTTTAAGTATAAAAAATGCTTGACATAATGTATCACCGCCTAACACGCTTTTTACTTGTAGAACTTTTTATGACAGCTCTATTGATAAAAACGCTTTTACTATTATAACAGCAACTCCAAATAAGCTCTAATACTTCATTTAGTTGTAGGGATAGAAAAATGGAAGGAGAAGTTGAATGAGACATTCGTAAGGAGGAGAATGTAGAGGGAATAAATAATAGAAATGATGGATGTAGTGACACATTATTTTTGTTTGATTGAAAGGAAGAGAAATATAGTTTTATATTATTTTTACTAATATACCTTAATTATATAAAATTATAGATAATATACTTGCCTACTTATTGGTGAATAGAAAGTTCATACTATGTGTCGCAAAAACAGAGTGACAAGTGTCCTATGATAAAAATAATAATAAAAAATAAAGATTCAAAATGATATTCGGTATAAACCCAACATGATTCAAATCAAACTGTAATCCTCTCCCTCTCTCTCATGCTTGCAAAAACACTTCTCAATTACTTTCATGGTAATATGATATTATTATGATGTTTTCTTAAGAAACAATATGATCAAAATCAAATCTTAATAAGATGTTTTCAATGAGCAGTATAAACATCATATGAAAATAAATAAATAAATGTAAGGGGTTTGCAAATGGGCCTCAACCTTTCACAATCCCTCTGAATGTTGCAGTCAACCTCTGGCCACGAATTGGAATTTCCAATATAAATTATTGATTTGTTAAACATCTCTCCTCCCATGTCCCAACCTTACTCGAATGATTGATTGCATTTTCTCAAACAAAGTCTTCTTGATTCTTAATTTCTTAAATTATTGTAAATCCCAAAAGTTTTTTGTTCTGAAATTTGATATAACAGTTAATATGCACGGGGATGAAGACTGCATAGCAATGTTTCTTTCTCCATGAGGCTTCTCTTCATTAACCAGCATTTACTTCCCCTATCCTAATCCGATTCACCCCAATATGATTCCCCTAATATAATGTTTTTTGTTGCCACAAATTGATGTTTTGTATGCTCTTCTATAGGGCTATACGGTGATGGACAAAAACCGAGGTATTGGATGGAAGGTTAAGCAGCCGAGAGTGAGAGACATAATAGAATTGGGCAAGTAGCGTGAGATAGAGAGGGAGAGATCGATTAGGGTTTTGGTAGGGTGAGAAAGATAGAGCTGCAGTAAGAATTATAATAGGATTTGATTTGGATGTTATTGGGTTTAACCCGAATAACTTCTCAAATTTTTTATTTTTATTATTTTGTAACGTTGGACACTTGTCATTTTATCTTTACGACACATAAGAATATGAACTTTCCACTCACAATTATTTTCCTAAAATTATATATTCATTCCAAATTATGTAATAAGGTTAAAAATGAAAATTAAAAACTTGTTGGTTATTATCCTGCTTTTTGTCTACTCTTCCTCCCAATTTTGGGGGATACAAAATTACAAATGAATGATTCCTCCCTCTTTCCCTTTCCTTTCACCAAACACAAAAAAACTTATTTTATCCCCCCTTTCATCCATCCCTCCAACCAAATATAGTATAAGGATTCCATTCAAGTTTGTTATTCCAGCAAGCCTTTATTTTTTTAACTTACACAAAAAAAAAAAAAAAAAAGAAAGAAAAGAAAAGAAGAAGACATAATTAGTAGGGGTGGGCAAATAATCCCTGAATCCGCGAATTTAATCCGACCCGATACAATCGGATCGAATTACTACACCCACGGATCGGTGACGGATTCAAAAAAATCAAATCCGTAATTCACGAATCGGATCACGGATTGGATGATTAAAAATCCGATCCGATCCGTGAATATTTTCAAATAATATATTTGTTAATTTAATAAATTAATGATAATTTAATGGATTCTAAAGATGTATTAGTTAATAATTATTTAAATACATGAATTAATATAAAAAAGTTAAAATTTTATATAGTGGGTTATAGGAGGTGAGCAAATAATCCGCAAATCCGATCCAGTCCAATCCGTGCCGATCGGATCGGATTGCTACATCCACGGATTGGTGGCGGATTCAAAAAAATCAAATCCGTAGCTCACGGATCGGATCACGGATTGGGCTGTTAAAAATTCGATCCGTGAAATTTATATATATTTTTTCAAAAAATATATTAGTTAATTTAATTAGTTAATGATAATCTCATGTATTCTAATGATGTATTAGTTAATAATTATTTAAATATATGAATTAATATTAATAAATTAAAATTTTATGTATTGGGTTAAGGTTAAAAGATAAATAAGTAATAAATAATATTACTTATAAAAATTTAAAAAATAATAATAATAGATAATTTAGATAAAACTTAATCCGCGGATTCAATCAGATCCGATCCGTGGGATAACGGATCGGTGGCGGATTAAAAAATTTCTAATCCGTTGGGAGCGGATCGGATTAGGATTAATGCTTAATCCGATCCGTGACCACACCTAGTGGGTTATGGTTAAAAGACAAATAAATAATAAATAATATTAATTATAAAAATAAAAATAAAAAAATAATAATAATAGATAATTTAGATAAAATTCAATCAGTGAGTGGATTCAATTCGATCCGATTCGTTATTATACGGTTTCGATCTGATCCGTGGGATAATGAATTGGTGGCGGATTAAGACTTGTCTAATTCGTTGAGAGAGGAGATTAAGACTTGTCTAATTCGTTGAGAGCGGATCAAATTAGGATTGATGCCTAATCTAATCCGATCAGATCCGTGTCACCCCTAATTATTAGGACTTATAATTAAGATTGAGATACAGATTGAAGATTAGGGTTTGTATTTGCAAGAGAGATGCAAAATCAAAGAGAAAGAGAGAGAGAGAGTCATAATCGGAGAGAGGGAAAGAATTGATGAACGAGACCCGATCAAAAGCAAGACATTTAAGTCAGACGGTCTATCATTAGTCTTATCAAATATATAGAAATCAGAAGGGAGGAAATTGGTAGAAGACGTGTTTGAATATAAAAAGTACTTCTTCATCAACAATAACGTATACTTTAATTTAAAGAATAATTGTGACTCGTAAGTTAAAGATCAAAAGCTAAAGTAAATGTAAATGGAGTAGAAAAGGAATTTTGGAGGGAAGCTTGTCAAAATATAAAAGTAATTCTCTCTCAACATTCATATAGTTTAGAGAAATATTAGATGTAACTTGTAAGTTAATACCTAGAGACACCAAAACAAAATTAGACACAGATAATTTAATTTAATTTAGGTAACTTTTAATTTAATGTGAAGTAAAAGAGAAATTTGGAAGAAATCGTGTTTAAATATAAAAGTAATTCTTTGTGTACTTTACAAAAATGGCAACAATCATTAGATCGCACCAAACAATTGCATATCCTGTGTGGAATGATCACGTTGTGTGAGGCTCCTGAAGCTGCTCCAATGCTTTGACCACCTCATCCATGTTTGGCCTCAACATCGGTTTTGTTTCTAGGCATTCTCTAACAATTGTAGCTGCTCTTAGTGCTGCATCTACTGAGTACTGGCCTTCGATGCGAGCATCCATCACACGGACTACTGTTTTGCCTTTGCCGGCTAGGTAAGGCTTAATCCATTCGACAAGCCTGCATTCCCCCGGTGGACGGTTCTTGTCAAATGCTTGTCCACCGGTCAAAATCTCGAGGAGAGCAACCCCAAAACTATATACATCACTTTTGGCAGTTGCACGGCCTTCACAAGAGAAGAGAATGAATTAAGCATCAAAGAGGAAATGAACATTAGGTTTGCCATTCAGAAAACAGAAAACTATTTTTAGAGAATTAGAATAACACCGAGTATTTAGAATACCTGTGTCTACATACTCGGGCGATACATAAGCCAGTTCATCATCCGTACATATGGCCGCTTCAGGAGGTTTATAACCAATGACATGGATTTCATTATCTAGTGGCCCAACCTTGGTCGACTCAGAAATAGAAAGCTTTACATTGAAGTCCTGTCAATTAACAATGACACTCTTATGAGCGTCCACAGATATATATTGTTGAACTTTCAGAAGAAGCATTGAAAAAAAAAAAATTGAAATGTTTCACATACAGAATCAAGCAGGATATTAGAGGATTCGAAAACGCGATAAATGACTTTTGCTTCTGGGCTGTGAAGATATGCAAGTCCCTTTGCAGCGCCAAGAGCAACCTTCATACGGAGGTTCCAAGAAAGTGGTTCAACATAAGAAGCCCCTGTTAATCCCAACAAGTACTGGGGTCTCTTAATCAGACACATTCGAAGTGGATGACTAATATGGTGCAGAGGGAGTAAGAACTTACTCGAAAATAGATGATTTTTCAGGCTACCCCGAATCATGAAGTCATCATATACCAGAAGCCGATGTTCGTCCTCTAAACAGTACCCTACCAGTTTCACAAGATTGGGATGAGACAGCTGCCCTAAATAATTAATTTCTGCCTGTATTTGAAAAGGAGTAACAAATTAATAACCTAGAAGTGGTCAAATTCCAACACTCAGAGCCAAAATGATTAGGAAAATTCATTTAAGGATTCTGACCATATGTGAAATTAATAACCTAGAAGCGGTCAAATTAAGATGTACTACTAATTTTAGGATTTATGTGGTATCTTATCTAATGGACAGTCATGAAAACTCTCAATCAATTTGTCTTGATATATGAAAAATTGAGAATTTATATGTTTGTCTAGGGGTACCACGTATAACTACCCCGTAAACTTTCTAAAAATGTTAAATAATAGAGATTGTACATACCAACCATTCCTGGTGACTACTGTGAAAACTATGTGGCGGGTTTAGTCTCTCCACAGCTACAACCATGCCGGTCCCTGGTTTGGTAGCTCTAAATGTATTCTTATCAATCCAGCCTTTAAAGACAAGACCAGAACTACCTTCTGATCGGAAGTTCTTGGTGGCTCTTTTGAGTTCGCTAATGGCAAAGCTCTTCAAATTAGGGGATTCTACAATCTCACCCTCCATCGGAGGAGTCAATTGTGCGTAGATTGAATTCACCCCTACACATGCATATCAATACCAAAAACATCCATTAATTCACCCGACAATGCTGGGCAGAAAATGGAAATTCTCAACAAACAAAACTCAAATCACTTTTAAATTTACATAATCTCTGATTATGAGTTAACCACGAGCAATTCAATTTTCAGGTGAAAAGACGTATTGAATTGAATTGCTATGCTCATAGAAAATTTAGGTTCATGCATGAACATATACATATGTATCATATATATATATATATAGTGTTTGCAGTTTGCACTAAATATATCCATGTGAATTCATTGAATTTTGGTGATATGATAGCAAATTTTGCTGCACCATAATTATGAGCTCCACTTGATACCAAAGACTGAAAAGGTCTGGTTATCGAGATTGTGTTGATTTCATTGCGGTCCTGCCCTATCATAATCAAGTTGGTTCTTGATAGGTGATGCAGGCCAATACAAATATGACACGTGTTCTAGAAAATTGAGTAAAAAGTTTGAGAAAAAGTTGTGTGAACCTGGGTGACGAGGAGTCTCGGCTTTGCTTTTAGAACTCATACAAGAACCCATTAAGTACTCAAAACTGCACTCACGCCCCCCTTTTCCCTTTCACCTGCACAGAGAGCAGACCCAACCGAGCAGAGTTTCGGATCAATTGCAATTTATATCATAAATGGTAGGATTTATTTTATATTTTTTGCGTGTTTCCAAAGGTGCTATTACTTTAAGGCTCCGAAAAATATTTTTTTGGACTTACCGGAAAAAGAATTTTTTTTTAATTTTTTGGGGGGGTGCTACATATACAAAAGGAATAGATAGAATTAAAAAAAGGGAAGAAAAACTTTTAAAGGATAAAAAAAAAAAGAGTTTGAGTCATTTACATTTTTAAAGAAATCAAATGAATATTAAGAAAAAAAAGAAAAAGGAAAGGATATTATAATTTTTTTTTATAAATATAATAAACAAATAAATAAATAAAATTATTATATTTTATATTGGACAGAGCTAATGCGGGAGACATGTGCCTCGTCGACACTAACTCGGCCCTATACACACACACAACATACACATACACATACCCATACACATATACATAAAGAGTATGATGACCTTGGGAAACTGAAAAAGGATAACACTGGTAAAGATATGAAATAACATGTGATAAGGCATATCATTATTGTACGGACGAAAATGAGACCTAGCCAGCTAGCCATGATGGGACCAAAAGTGACGTCTGAATGTAAGAAAAGTGAACAAACAAACCAGCAAATTAACTATACTAATATTTTTTATTTAATTAACTGTCTAGTATGATACACAAATCAGTACAATTTGGATATATAATGCTATAAAGATGCAATTCTGGTCAGAAGTTTTGGGAAGACAGAAATTGGAATACAATTTTTTTTGGTTCTTTCTTTGTCAAGAAATATAACTTGGAGAAAGAGATCGAACACAAACTATTTTATTTTATTTTATCTCATTTATTTATTTTTTCATCAGACCTCTATGACCCTTCATGATCACCAAAAATTAGGGCTTATCAGCTGCACAGATCTAGAAAAAGAACCAACCAAAGCAGATCTGGGCCGGGTGTCAAAAATATCTATTTTTGATTCTCAACAATGATCGTAAGAGAAGAAAATCTGAAAGCTGTATTTTGTTATGTATCTGTTTCTCAAGCCAGCCAAAAAAGAGGAAAATCTGAAAGCTGTGTCCAATATATAAATATATATATATAAGTCACTAATTAATGCTCATACATATTAACTCTAAAGTCTTGGTGTTCTTGATAAAAAACGAATGCATAAGCTGACCTGCTCCTTATTCAATAGGTTGGCTTTGATTGGAAGTTGCCTAGCGCTCTTAAGTTTTTGAAGAGAGAGAGAATCTATCTACACCTTTGGTTAATTGTTAATTACTACTACAGCTCCAAAGTTTCAGAGACAGAGAAAGTAAAGGAGATATATATATATATATATATATATATAGAGAGAGAGAGAGAGAGAGAGAGAGAGAGAGGAAGGTCTCCAGCTCCAAAGTTTCAGAGAGACAAAGTAGAGGAGATATAGAGAGAGAAGAGGAGGATTGTAGCGAGCAAGTCCAGAACTAACCTTGGGCTTATATAGTGCGGCTCTCTCTCTCTCTTTGCTAGACTCTCTCTCTCAACCGTGAAGACTCTGGAGTTGGAAGGAAGGGTTAAGCCTGTACAGGCCGTTGCATTTCATGTAAATGATGTGATGGGTCAAATTATAATTTGAGAAAATTGAATGTAGCAGCATTAATTGATCAAAACCGAGTGTGGAATATATATATATAGACACGTACTAGTGCGTAGATAGATATATGTATATATAATATACGTGTTGTGTGTTTCGAACGCTTCAATTGGACAAAGGCGTGGTTCTTTAAAGTGACATTTCAAAGTAACCCATAATTTTGGAGTTGGACTAAGGCAGTGGTTGTTTAAAGACTAAAGCGACTTGGGACCAATTGGAAATGAGGAATTCAACAGATCCCATGGTCTCAGAGAGGTCAAACTGACCAAAGCCGGGTCTACGAACCAAAAGCTATTTCATGATTCTCATCAATCATGTAAGCAAATTGGATTTGTTTAACATGGATACCAATGATACAAGGAGAATGCGTAAATACCCACCAATGAGTAGGGTAAAATTACTCATTTTTACGTGATCTAATAATAAACTAACATATTATTTTTAATAATAAAATAATTTACGTATTTTTTTATTTTTTCGAATTAATCATTGAATAAATCGTATATAGTGTTTTTAGGTATGGACTATTTAATTTTTAAATGTGATGCGTTATTTTATTATTAGGTCATATAAGGAGTGAGTAACTTCACCATACTCACCAGTGAGTAGGTAAGCATTATTCATAATATAATGTTAGTACATTTGTAACTCGTCCAGTACGGTATCTTTTACTCACCCATAAAACTGTCATAATCACCCTTTCTTAGGGGCCAATGTCCTCATTGGTCACACTTTAGGCCATTCCACCACATGGTATTAAGGATGGGCAAATAATTCATGAATCCGATCTGATCCGTGCGAATCGGATTGGATTGCTACACCCACGGATAGGTGTCGGATTCAAAAAAATTGAATTCGTAGCTCACGGATTGGACTGTTAAAATTCAATCGAATCCACGAGTCCAGTTCAATCCGTGAGATTTATATATATATCACGGATTGGACTGTTAAAATTCAATCGAATCCGCGAGTCCGGTTCAATCCGTGAGATTTATATATATATATATATTCAAAGAATGTATTAATTAATTTAATTAGTTAATGATCATTTAATAGACTCTGTATTAGTTAATGATCATTTAAATATATGAATTAATTTATATAAATTGAAATTTTATCTATTGGGTTATGGTTAAAAAATAAACAATATTAATTTTAAGAAATAATAATAATATTGGACAATTTTAAAAAAAAAAATCCCAATTTGCGGATTCAATTCGATCCGTTATCCCACGAATCGGTGCGGATTAAAATTTTTTTAATCCGTTGGGAGCAGGTCGAATTAGGATTGATGTCTAATCCGATACGATCCGTGACCATCCTTACATTGTATAATATTGTTCACTTTAGATCCAAACCTGCAAGGTTTTGCTCTTGGGTTTAACCCCAAAATATTTCATACCAATTGGAGCATACAATTTTTACATATATATAATATTTTCCCTTTTCACACTCAAGTGATGTAAAATTGTGCACCCATATCGCTTCCAATGTGATAACTTGACAATGCCTCATGCACCCATTCAAGACACCCTACATGGTCCCCACAATCACAACCTCCATGGTCGTTCAAAAATTCAAATGCTTTTTCGGCCCTTGTTTTCAGGAAAAGTGTTAGAAATCATTCATCAACATATTTATTCTTTCCTTTTACTCCAATATACATGAAAACATAAATGACCCTTTTTATTGCCTCAAAGGTACACCCTTTTTTTGCCTTACTAGAACTAGGCCTATCAACGAATCGGATTTAGATCAGATCAATCAAATCCATATATGATTTGTTAAGCAAACGAATTATCGAATTTGAATTACTAACGGGTTTCCGGACTAAATACCCCAATCCATATCCTATTTAGCTCGGACTCGGATCGAATCGGATTCGAATTCGGATTAAAATCATATTTACTAACATATATAATTATAAAGTTAGATGAAGAGGAGAATAAATAATTATTTATATATATAATTTTAATCGGATCGAATCGGATTATTAACGGATCGGATCAGATTAGCATAATCCATATCCGATTTGTTAAGCTAATAAATTATCGGATTCGGATTGTAATCGGATTATCGAATTTTTTGTTCAATCCATATCTAATTAATCGGATCGAATTTGGATCGAATTCGAATCAGGATCCGCTCCATTAATAGGTATAACTAGAACGGCTAAATAATTCATCCATTGGTATCAATTGAATGGTTGAATGATTGGGACTGACCAATAATGCAATGTTGGTATTTTTATTATTGGATGGTTGAATAATGTTTATTCTTGTTGACAATTTTTTGTTCTCCAATATGACCTAGCTAAAAAAATTTATGCTGATACTCAATTACTGAGTGGCTTAGGGGTTCTTTTTCCCTTTTTTTTTTTTTTTTTTTTTTTTTTTTTTTTTTTTTTCAGAAAGCTAATATTGTTTAAGAAAAAAATTGTGGTCATGTAATTGGTGAAATTATAATTTTTTTTTTTACTATTATTGAGTATGTCATAGTGGCGTTGAGAGGGATTCGGGAGGTAAGTCCTTGAAGTCTCGCTTTTGAACCGCACTATTGACTTGAATGATGCGTATATTGTGAGGTCGATATACGTGTTCTAAGAAAGAAAAAAAAAAAACGTTTAGGGATGGCAAAATCCCCAAACCTGGGAATGGGAATTAATGTAGTTTTTGAAACCTCGGCGGGGCGGGGATAGGTTAAACCCCCCCACCCCATCCTGTTTAGGGTGTTCATTTACTATAATACCCTTATATATTATGTATATTACTGAATTAGATTAAATATAGATAAACTAAGTTAAGAAAAATTATAACTTGGTTGCGCTGAATTTTGAAATTTGAGAAAAAAAAAAATTAGTGTTGTGTTAATCAGTTTGGGGGGGGGGGGGGGGGGGGTTTGTTATGGGGATGGGGTGAAATTTTAAATGGGAATGGGAATAAAAAAATTCACCAAATATGAAGATGGGAAATGAAATCCTCATCCCACCCCTTTGCCAACCTTACTAATGCTATGAGTCTATGACCTCCCTTTTCTCAAAAAGAAGGGGATGGATTCTCTCCCAAACTAGATATAAATAAAGACCACAACAAAATAAACAAATTACCTTTGCAAGACTCACTGTTGGATTTCTTGAAGAATGAAGATCACAACAACAGGAAGAAGATCAATAAGATTCAAAGCATAGGTAAATGTCATTGTCAACCATTAATTCGATTTGTTATTCCTTTTGTCTTATGAATTCTAAGGTTGATGAATTTTTGAAAAAAATAAATAACAAATAGAAGCAGATTTAGCTCTAAAAAAAATAAACATACACTATATTTATTACTCTATTGCTGAGTTTGATGTGCATGAAAAGAATAGAAAAGAATGCAAGTGGGAATAGAATGAGAAATGTGTAGGAATGAAATAATAATAACCATTTTATTGTTTGGTTGGTATCAATTTAAAATTTAGAATGAAATAAATTTCAAATTGAGTTCTCTAAAATATCCCTCCTAGTAACAAATAAATTAAATTAACAAAATAGTATTCTTGTATAATTTTTAAAAAATAAATGGTGGCAGTGGTGGTAGTGGATGGTGGTGGAGGAGGAAAGCGGTAGTGGTGTAGATGGTGGTGTTGGAAGGCGGCGGCGACAGAAGATGGTAGTGATGTTAGTGGAATGTGGTGGCAGTAATGTGGTGGAAAGAGATAGTGGTGTATGTGGCCATGGTGGAAGCCAATGAAGGTGGTGATGGAAGACAGTGGAGGTGGCAATGGTAGAAGGTGGTGGTAGTAGTGGAAGGTAGTGGCGATGGTAGTAGTGGCAGTGGGGTAAGGCAATGGTGTTAGTAGTGGTAGTAGTAGTGGAAGACTGTATGTGGTGGTGGTGGTGGTGGCGGCGGCAATGGGGGAAGGCAGTGGTGGTAGTAGTGGTGGAAGGTTGTGGAGGAGGTGGTGGTAGCGGTGGAAGGCTGTGGCAGCAGTGGTAGCAGCGGTAGCGGTAGCGGTGGTGTGGTGGAAGGCGGTGGTGGCGGTAATGGTGGAATGTCGTGGCGGTGGTGCAAGGCGGTGGCAGTGGTAGTGGTGAAAGGCAATGACAGTGGTGGTGGTGGAAAGCGATGGTAGTGGTGGTGATGAAAGGCAGTGACGGTGGTGGTGGTAGTGGTGGAAGGCAATGGTGGTGAAAGGAAATGATGGTGGTGGGGGAAGACGGCGGCGGCGATGGTGAAAAACCGTGATATATGGTAGTGGTGGAAAACAGCGGTGGCGGTGGTAAAAGGCGGTGGCGGTGGTAGAAGGCGGTGACGGTGGTGGAAGGCGACAGTGGTGGTGAAATATGGGGGCGGTGGTAGTGGCAGTGGCGGTGGAAAGCGGTAGCTATGGTGAATGGTGGTGGAGGTGAAGGTGGTATAAAGCGGTGGGGGTGGAGAAAGGCGATGGTGGCAGCAGTGGTGGAAGGTTACGATGACGAAAGATGGTGGAAAATTGTGGCTGTGGTGGCTGTGGAAGGTAGTGGCGGTGGTGGTGGCTGACGTAAAGGAAGACGATGTTGGTGGCAAAAAGGGATGGCGATGGTGATGGTGGAAAGCGGTGGGTGATGGTGAAAGTTCGTAGTGGTGAAAGGCAAAGGTGGTTGTGGTAGAAGATAGTGGTGATTTTTGGACTTAGAACATGAGGGTTTTTTGGGAAATTGATTTTTTTAAAAAAATTTACTTGGGAATTGAATGGTTATTCAATAGGTTTAGTTGTGGAATGGATTTTCATTCCAATGGAATGGCCATTCCCACTTTAAATTGCATACCAAACAAAAAAATGGTTGGAATGGACAT